GAACATGACAACCGAAAATAAACATGAAAGAATTAGGATTAATCGCGCAAGTTTGAATCGAGCTGCTTTCAGTTACGATGTGTCAATTGGAATTGGTGCAGAGAATTCTAATGATGAAGTTACTCAATACCAAATAGGCCGCTATGTTAGTAGTAATGAAGCAAATTTTCTTTTCCAATTCATAAGAGACACCCATCTGTTATTCACTTAGCTGAGCATATAAAAAATGGGCAAAGGGTGTACTTCACAGCAGTGAACGCAGGTCAAAAAGCTGCTCAGCCACCATCTACTACGTTAACAAGTTTTTTTGGGGCATGTCAAAACGATAATTTTGCACAAACACTGCTATATTCTGAAATGCCAAAACATTATATTTGGAATCTGGAAGATTTATACGACGGAAACAAGAAAAACCAGTACCAGGATACACAGATGTATATTCCACCGATGCGATTGGTCGAATTTATTCAGTACATCCAAGCCATGGTAAATGTTTTTATTTACGACTGCTATTAGCCAATGTACGTGGCCAAAAATCATTCCAACATTTACGAACAGTTGATGGTGAATTATGTAGATCCTACAGAGAAGCCCGTCAACGTTTACAATTGCTATAAAATGACGCTCATTGTGATCAAACTCTCAGTGATGCTATAATATCTTCACACGCTCATCAAATACAAACATTGTTTTCTATAATCATATCCACAGGCTTTACATCAAACCCAATTGATTTGTGGATCAAGTACAAAGATTATATGTGTGATGATATTTTGTGTCAAATGCGGAATAGAATGGGAAATCCGAATATGCAATTCAGTAAAGAAATTTACAACAAAGCATTGATTTCAATTGAAGATATGTGCTTGATGATGTTAAACAAAGTGTTAATTCACTTAGGCCTGGCCGCGCCCAATCGTCCAATGCATGATGCTTTTAACCAAGAGTTGCATCGAGAAAAACTGTATGATCTCAACAATTTGAAAGAATTAATCGAAACAAATCTTCCACTGTTGATTGAACAACAGAGGTATGTATATGATATTCTTATGAAAGTAACAAATGATGGAACTGGGGGGATTTACTTCTTTCCACAATTCGCTCACAAAACAAAATTGCATGCACTCGCTTCATCGGGAATCGCAGCAACTTTACTCGAAGGTGGTCGAACAGCCCATTCAGCACTAAAATTGCCATTAAATATGCAAAGCAATGAAACTCCAACTTGCAACATTTAGAATAACTCTGCAATGGCTAGGTTTTGCAGCAATATGAATTGATTGTTTGGGATGAATGCATGATGGCACATACAAAATCTTTTGAAGCTTTAGACAGAACCTTTAAAGATCAACAGAGCATTCAGAACCGATTTGGTAGATTTTTTTGACAGGACGAAGTCTGTCGGGTCAGCTAGTAATAAATAAAATGACATTGAGTCGTTTTATCGCTAGTAAACGTTTTTAATATTATAGGATATAATTAAGAAATATTTTTAATATAAATGTATTAAAAATATTTCTTAATTATATCCTATAATATCCTTGTGAACAATGATATACATATACGTAAGACTAGACTTTCAGGGATAGTGTAGATATTATGTAATTTAGTATATGGCTAATGTACTAGCTTATAAAGCCAATAAATCATATAAAAAAAATATCCTTGTGAAAATTTAAAATCATTTTCAACCCCGTAAAAACCCTTTAAACAACCTCTAAATAAAAAAAAACACTTAAAAATAAATTTCGGTATGATATAATTAGAATTACGTGTAAAGTAAATAATATTTTATGTTTTCTATCTTGATTATCAAATTTTTAATCCTTTTTAGACCCTTAAAAACGACCCCTTGATGAAAAATTGTTTGCAAAAATCATTTTGAAATTGAAAGAAAATTAAGAAATTCAAAATGATATATTATGTTATTTCAATTTCTCGAAAATAATTACCATATCCATAATTTGTTCAACTCTTAAAACTACCCTTGAATAAAAACAGTTAATACATTACAAATTGAAAAATTATTTAATGAAACCATAAGTAATCATAATTCATTTCAAACTGAAACAACATTTACTACTCAATGTCGGAGTTGCTGTTATCATCACTATCTTCTTCTGGCTGTATTGGAGGGCTGTTCTGGCAGTTATCACCGCTACATGTTCCACAAGCTGTATTGCAGAACAGACCAACTTTTCGGCATCCGCATGTGGCTGTTTTTGCAGTTACAAAAAATCATTGTTAGTAAATTTTAGTGCTGGTGGATCTACAGATTTGATTGGATTTAATAATCCTTCATTCATTACCCACTCCCAATCAGATGGATTATGGGTGAATGTTTTTGCTGCCAAGTCATATCTGCGTTTGGTGGTAAACTCTTCTACTATGCTCATTTATGGCACCAACGGTTAGAACCAAAGAAGCTAATTTAACATAAGATACTTTACTATAAGGATAAATCGCCTGCTATATTTACGATATATACATTTCATGATCAATATAATAATACAAAATTTTGTAGTTGCTTGTTTTGTAGTAAAAAGTTGCGTTGTTTTGTAGCAAAAAAATCGGAAAAAAAGTTTTTATAAAATCGTGAGTTTTTCGAAAATAGTTTGTACTAAGGTAGTGAATCTGCTAGAATCCATCAAAATATCTATAATGAAGTGAATTCTAGATGGAATGTGAATTACTTTAATTCTGGTGGAAATGGCACTCATTAAACCATGATTTAAAAGAAAAGCTCACTCATTTTACTCGCAAAAAACTTGTAGCAGCACGCATTTTAAAGCTTATGTTGAGCACTATAAAACTCAATTTCACCGAAATGCATAAAATGTAAAACCTCGCCACTAGATGGCTTTAAATACAACAATTAAATCTTGAACAAAATAAAAAACGGTTTTGCTCTTTCAAATCTTGCTTAATATTATTCTTAGAACACTTTATAAAACGCCGATTTATTCAGATTTTTATTGACATTATTTTGTTCATAACATGATTTTCGTTAAAATGTATATTTTAGGAGATATTTGCAAAAAAACGAAGAAAAACACTTGAAATATATGAATCTTTAGAGACCAGTAACTATAAGTATTAGTTTTTTTGAAAAACTAAAAAAAAATTCTCATATCAATTTTTCTGTCGATTTTTGACGTTATTTTAAAACAATGTAATTACACAATTAAGAAGGGGTGTCATCCCCCCGAAGGGTGGTGGCGGAACGCAAATTGTTTTCGCGTTTGAACTTGAGAGTAAAATGAACGTAATTCCAAAATTTCATGCAATTCGAAGCACAGTAAAAACAATCAGACCCAAAACGCTCCGTTTACTGCAATATTAAGGCAAATTGCTGGAACTTTCAGTACCGTAACGAAATGTTCGAAAAATATTGAATGTTTTCAGATAGATTATTATAAATATTGTAACATTGTCTAATATTTATAAGAATTATATAAACTGAATTGCAAAGTTAAAAATATTTGTTTAAAGTATATTAGATCTTATGTCAGAATTACAATTAAAATCTAATTTTTTTTTCGATATAAAAAAAAATATATTTAAAAAAAAAAAAAAGATTTTTGTTCCAAAAGCAATTATTTTTTGTTAAAACATGCAGAAAGTTCTTTGAATCATTCAAATCGGACGCTTAGTTCTCTCAAAAACTGCAATTTTTTGCACATTTAGCTTTGTATCTCCGAAACCGCTGGGCCTGCCTCTACCAAAAACTAATCACCACTTCTCCCCGGCATTACGAATTGAATGTTTTTTGGATCATTCAAATTGGATGCTCCGATCTCTCAAAAACTTGATTTTTATTTTCTGCGCTCTTTGCTCCGTATCTCTGAAACGGCTGGACCTGGCTTTGCCAAAAACTAATCAGCACATCTCCCTATGAATCGAATGTTTTTTGAACCATTCAAATAGGTTGATCCGTGCCAAAAACTTAGACGAAAAATTATATCCATACATACACACACATCCATTTTTCCTGAGATATGCCAAAACGTGGAGAAATGTAAAAATTTACAATTTCGATTTTTGGACGATTACAATAACCTACGGGAAGTTAAAAAATAAAAAGAAATTTTATACTCGGATATTAAAATCTCTATATAATATCTTACAATTTGATGTGCATATGTCCAATGATCATATTGATTACCAAATGGCATTTTTTAAAACTGTTTTGTATCTCCAAAACTGCTAACCTGCTGCCATTTCGTCAGTACAAGTACAATACTTTTAGAATCATTTAAATCGAACGCTCCGTTCTTTTAAAAACTGAATTGCCATTTGTGGCACTTTTTATCCCGTATATTCGAAACGGCTGGACCTGCCTGTACTGAAAACTAGTCAGCACATTTCCTTACCGATAGAAATAGATATGTACTTCGAACCATTCAAATCGATTGATCCGTGCTCTCGAAATTGTCGACGAAAAATTGTATCCGCACATACGTATACACACACCATTTTTTCTAAGGTATGCCAAATTGTTCAGAAACATTTTCAATCTTTTTGCGTTTACTATAACTCACCTTAAGGGTGAGTTAATAATAAAAAATGTTTTCCGAATCAAAGGCTCCATCTAACTTCAGAATCAATGTTTTATTACAGAGGTTTAGCAGATTGCTTACAAAACTTTTGTAAACCTTTTAAAATAATGTATTGTAAAATGAATGAAAAGTTCAATCATTATCATACTCGCAAGATAGTTTGGTATGGAGAACATGCCAAACTATAACCTGGTCCATCCATTACAGCTAATGGAACTGCTGTTGTATTTTGTTTTTTTTTAAATTTCTTGGAAACGATTAACTTGTTTCCAGTTTTTATCATTACAACATTGAATATTTTTGTTATTTATATTATACTTTTTCTATATATCATGCACATGTGACAAAATTCCTAAGGTTAAAAGTCTATAATGAATGAAATATAAAATGATATGTATATGTATTAAAATAAAATTCATAAACTGAAACTGCAACAATCATTATCAACCCACATTTTATTCAATTATTTTCTATATTTTCTTTTTCACAATATTTAAACAGTTAATTTTAAATATAAATTTAAATACAAACATTTATTCAACTACCTAAGCATTTATTTAAAAACATGTTCAATAATTTGTTTAAATCGTTCAGGGTACATGTTTTTCTGTTTCAATGCACATTTCTTGCATAGAGTTTTCATGAAAAATATACTGCAAGTGGTTGATACGCATACAGATTCTTGACAAATACTACAATCGGCTCCCAATATAAGAATTTCATTTTTGTTCTCAGGACTAAAAGGATCTTTCATTATATAGGATTCATCAATTGTAGCTATATTTTTTGCAAATGGAGGATTACATCCTTTATAGTCATAAGGTTGTTTAAGTGAACAACACGAGCAAATAAATTCTGGTAGAGGTTCATTTGTATTTTCTTCATTTGCATCTGAACTTGTAAAATTTTGATTTGCCATCTATAAAAAAAAATCACAAATTAAATTTTTGGTACTGTAAAATATATTAGACAGATAAATAAATATTTCGTTTGTATAACATTTTAAAACTAAAGTATATAAATATTTTGCGGCTCTAAGGCAATATACGAGGTGTGTTCAAAAAGTACCCGGAATTACTAATAATTAAATTTCGCGGGTCTGGAGTGTCTGATTGTCAAATTTTTTTTTTTATTGTGTTGGTATACATGCCCCTAAAGTATGATGAAATTTTCAGCTATATTCACTGTTTACTTTGTCTGTGGTAGTCGCTAAGGTTCGACGTGTTTTTCTGAGCTCGGCGATTTTTACAATGGAAGAATTGAAAAGTCAAAGAATTTGTATTAAATTTTGCGTAAAAAATGAAATAAAGTGTTGCAAAGTGCAAAAATTCACCAGATATGGCTCCGTGTGACTTTTTCCTATTCCCAAAGTTGAAGAGACCCATGAAAGGACGGCGGTTTTCCTCGATTGAAGAAAATCGCTGAGAGTGCTCAAGGACATATCAAAAAGTGAATATCAAGGGTGCTTCGAAAATTGGAAAAAACGCTGGCATAAGTGTATTATATCTGGGGGGGACTACTTTGAAGGGGACCACATTAATGTAGACGAATAAATAAATATTTTTTTGAAAAAACGAAAATTCCGGGTACTTTTTGAACAGACCTCGTATAATTAAAATTTAGTACCAGTTTTTGTCTCGATGGCATAATTCCATAAATTACAAATAAATATAACATATCATAAAAAATATTACCAGTGAAAAACTTCCTTTATAGTTTCAAAAAAATTGTACTGAATCATTTAAGTTCTATTTCCGACTGTTATTACTTAGTACATTTTATGAAATTTTCAATATAACGATTGCTTCAAATAAATACGAATTATATAGGTTGTTGTAATAAATAATTAGTTTTTCATGTCTTTTTTATAATTTCCAAATATACAATTTAAAGTAACTCCAACTCATCAATTATATTGTTCAGATTTATATATCAATACTTTATTGTCAAGTGAAATGATTGATTTGTGTCTGATTATCCAATTTAAGTCCTTAACCTTTTGTTTAATCTGTTTTATTTTAGTTATTAGGTGGTGGTTATTTTTGGTCCAAGTGGATCTGAAATACTTCACATATTCTGCTGGTAGAATTTTCTGACCGTTAAAGTAGACTTTTCGATCTCGGTTTATTTAAGGAAAATGTTATGTGGCAAGATTTATTCTCGTTGATGACAATGCACAAGTATTTTGTTCCGTATTTTAATAGTATTCAGATGTGTCTGAAGTTTATTTGATGCAATGACCAAATTGGTATATGAGGAAAGTACTGCAATGTAGCAAATGTAGCAATTGAAGTATTTGGTAGTGAAGGAAAGTTGCTGGTATACATAAGAATAAGTAGATGCTACAAATATTAGGTGAAGTAAAAAGAAATCCTTTATTTTTGCAATAGTTGGCTTTAATTTTCTGTATTGCACGTTGTACAAGTTCGATTTGGTTCTACTAGGCAGTATTAGAAAGATGAGATTTAGTACAGAAAAAACTATTTTAACAATTGATTGACTCAGTTTTGTTCGAGCGCGCGTCAAAAGTGAACACTACCAAAAAGAAAATACACTATACTTTACTTTTTTGGTTCGACAAAGGCGAAAACATAAGTGAGGAGGATAAAAATGTGAGTAGTGTTTATGGTCCTGCCACCAATTGAATGAGGCTAGATACACAAAAGCTTGATATACCACACCATTATTAAAATTATTTTATATTTGTACTAATCATTCTTACAATTCTAGCAGTGAGCATTAACATACATTGTGATAGTTATATCATATGTAGGAAAATTACCGACAAAGTGATACGCAATGACAAAATGACACAGTGGCCTTATCTTAAAAATCGGAAGGTTTTATTAAAATTTTCGTGACTGTATAAGATGAAAAAAGTCATAATAACAATCCTGTCAGATGTTGAAAGTGGATCTCTTACAATAACTTAAAGCAAAAACTGTCGTAATCGAATCTCGGTGAGTAGGCAGAGATGGTGGCCAGGCCAAGATTAGAATTTGGTGGGATTATATACTGTGAGTTGATCTTCCATGGTAAAGCGCTCAACTTGAAACTATACTATACAGTCAATAATTAAACCGTCTGAAGGAAGCAATGCCCAAGAAGCACCCAGCTTAGACCAATTTCAAGGAATTGTGTTCCATCAGGACAACTGTCTTGCAACTTGCTTGATTGGTATGTTTTTTTCCATCTATCTTCTGGTATGGGCTTGGCACCAAGTGATTACCCTTTGTTCTAGTCCATGGCAAACAGTTTAGCTGATAAAAAATGCACTTTGAAAAAACTTGTAAAAATCAAGTGTATCAATTTTTTGCCAATAGGGACAAACGTTTCAGTAATATTACATTTAAAATGGCAATAAGTTATTGAAAATTACGAAGCATATTTGACTTAAATCGGACCATCCTAACTACAGTAATTAAAGCCTCAATTTCATGCAAAAATGATGGATTTCTTTTTACTTCGTCTAATATATTTTCAAAATTTATCAACTTGTTCTATACAAGCTTCGACACTTTATGACAAAAGTACAACACAATTTGTTAAATATAAGTCAAGTTCAAATCAGCCACATAAGATCATCAAACAAACAAGTATTGAAATATGTATAATGAAATAGTATATTAGAAATATATATATCACAATTGATTGAACAAATTTATTTCCAATAGCTCAATTTATTTTAATGCCAAGGGTTGTCCAGTATTTTGAGTCATACCTCTAGATGTATAAACAAATGATTTTTGTTTATTCACGACTAAAACATCGATTTTCCAAATTTATGACAATAATTTATTGTCTGCCTTTGTAATTTATAGCATAAGATATGTGTTGGAAATTGCAGTATTTTAAATAATATAATGAATTCAGAAAGAATTAATATATAGTCTCTGCGGCATAGGTACAATATCACCTTGGATTTTTTCACTCAAAATAATTGCTTCAACAATGTTGCCCATAATTTTTATAATCTCGTCTTAATATATTAATTGTGTTCAGTAATAATAATATCTAATTACCTTTTTAATAATAATTTGATGTAAATTATTACTTAAGTTCATATTTTAAGCAAATTAATTTCAGAAATCAGAAATTAGTGCAGTAAATAGAGAGAAAAAATGGTGTAATCTGTGAACTTTTTTACTGCTCCAATTTGCGTGATATTTTGGAATCTTTTGAATCAAGTTAATTCTAGATGAAATACGATAACAATATTATGTGACATGTGTTCCTAAAATTATATTTACCTCATGAGTACATCATATTCTAATATTGCCTAGGATTTACCCATTTTAATCAAATTTTCTAACGAATCGAGAACCTTTGACACATAGATAAATAAGCATAAATAAACATATTGTCTTAAGCATAAAATTTACTTATTTTAATTAAATAGGGAACGGGCAAGCTCTCCTCTAGCGGATTTTAAGTGCAACTTGGATTCCAACAAATATGGCGGATGACACATTTATGAGTTGAATTTGCTGTCAACTAATATTTGTTTTGACGTAAAACGTGCATTTTTAGGTTAAACATTTAATAATTCATATTTCTTACATATTTTCATCATTTATTTTTTATGATTTTACAATAACAGAGGTAAGAATAATGAAATTCAAAATATAAATTTTGTTTGCAATATGCATACTATTTACATTCAGGAAGGATATTCAATCAGAAAAATATTGAAAGTTCAAAGTTTGAAGAGGCTTTAGTAAATTAAATCAATATTTGCTTAAATGATCATATATACATGCATAAAAACATTATTAAAAATCCATTTGTGAGTTTGATTCTTAGAAAACACTAATTATGAAAGTTAGAAATTAGTTATATTGCTTTAGGTTTTACTTTTCAGATTCATTCGTTGGTAGTTTCCAGGGTATTTGAAAGTAGGTTCTTATTTATTTGCACTCCAGATGGCTTTATTTCATTTGTTAATAATGTGGGCTTAGGCAGAATCACTCCAACCCAAATTAATGTACTCTCGGGCGTAATAAAAAAAAAGTAAAATCTGGATGTGCTGTATTAACTGACAAAGGTAAATTCATGAGTAAAAAAGACAAAGTTTTTAATTGTACTTTATAGTCAGGATTTTCATCAATATGGACTGAGTTAGACAAATTAATAAATATAGCAGTACTTGTGCATATGCTATTTGTTTAAAATTAAATTTAAAACGGATTATTTTCACCAGGAGATATTAATTAAACTCACTTTGAAGCTAGTGTGCGTATACATGTAGAATGAGTCATACACAGAATGAAAATTTTAAAACTTCTATGTCTTGTCGTTTTTTTATGTCCTATTTTGGTGAATCTTCAAACTTTCATTATTGGATAAGATGGGGATGGTAAATGAAAGAAATGTTAATTTATATTAGATTAAATATATATGTATCATGACTGTTAGCTTGTATAATAATATTAACTGTACATAAATGTTATATGTAATACATAAATTGAAAGCTTTTGGAAATCAAAGATGAATACTTCGTATATGTACCTAAATTAATCTGAAAGAAAAAACATTGAGAGCATATAATTTAAAGTATAAAATTTTAACAGGTATGTAATATTAAATTCACACAAATAATTACCAATCTATGGAGGAGACCCTCTTCTATCAATATTAGCAAATACTGCTCATCGGTATAAAATTTTGGAGAAATTCTTCAACCGTGCATATACTGATACAATAGCTTCCTAAAACTTTTAAAAGTAATATCTTTTTATGCAATAAAACAAAACATACCTGCAGTAATGCAATAATACAAAACAATTAAATCAAATCAAATTGCAGTGTAGAAATCCTGTAAGTCCTGACATCCTATCAAATATGAGATTCATTCTGCAACAAAGTACTAATAGAAAGATCTAAACTTTGTTCAGCTGATAACACAACATGCAAATCATAAAATATCTTATGGCCTTGTCTGAAAATTTTATCATACCTTTAAGCAACACATGTTTGTTTTAATATGGTGGTCAATAGCAAATACATTTTAATTATGAGTACATACCTCAATGAATCTATCCAACGAAGCAATTTATTTCTTCTAACGTTAATTATAACAAAATTCACTTTCTTATTCATGCGCTTTCTTCACTTAATATACGCACATGATTGGTGACTCAGATATACCGCATTATTATTAGAAATAAATAAAAATTGCGATTATAAGAAGCAATAACCATCTTTAACAAGCACATAAGTTTGAATAAAACCTGTCAAAATACGAAATAAAACCTGTCAAACGCCATCTTGTTTGGAATCCTTGTTTGCACTTTTTCGCCACCCAGAGAAGTCATGGCGTTTTCACTGACATTTTTATGAGCTTGCCCGTTCCCTATTGTCTAAAGCCGGCCACAGACGTAACTGTATAACTGCGCAACCTGCGACTTGAACATGTATTCTGTAGCGTCTGTGGGGTGTTTTTTGCGCAACTTGACAGACTGGTGCAAGCGAGTTGGCATGAGCACTTTTTGATTATTTTAATTGCGCAATCGTTCAAGTCGGCAAGTTCATTCGTTGGCCGCGTGTGGCAGCACATGTCCATATTTTTATTTTACATTGTAGCGAATTTATAATACAAGTTTATGAAGTTATCGACAATTAAAAGTTATGAAATTAGCCCTATGAACACTTTGAATTCTCTTCTGATGCTGTAAATATATAAATTAATAAAAAAGATATATTTTTAGGTTATGTTTTGACATTTATTATTTGACATTTGTGATATGCTTGCGCAAGTACTTGAACATAAACTTGAACCGTCTGTGGGCGCTGTGAAAATACGCCTGGTTGCGCATTCATTCAGTTGCACATGCATACAGTTACGTCTGTGGCCGGCTTAACAAATCGAGTACCTTTGACACATAGATAAATAAGCATAAATTAGTATATTGTCTAGGATAAATAAGCTTTGACATGTCCTTTGTTTGTACTACTGGTGCTAGCTATGGGTGCATTCGACTTGGACGCTTACGCGCTGTGAGCGCTCACGCTTGTAAGCACGAATTTTTAGCGTTCGACTTGGCCGATAAGCGCTCAGAATCGATAACTAAATTCCGTTCGTTTTGGATACTGTGAGCGTCAATAAGCATCAAAATGGCGGCAACTGGCGGTAACGGTAATTGGGTAAATTTTATTACTTTCTGGATCATTCAGCGGGATTATAAACAATTTAACAATTAATAAATAAATGAAATTTGGTTTGCTTATGCTTAATTAATATTAATATTAAAATTAAAATTTAAAATTATTTAAAATTAATTAAATTTAAAATTAATTAATATTAATATTAATATTAAAAAATAATTGTGATATACAACTTGGCATTTTTGCGGGATTATAAAAAATTTAACAATTAATAAATAAATGAAATTTGGATAGCTTATGCTTAATTAATAGTAATATTAAAACTAAAATTTAAAATTATTTAAAATTAATTGAATTTAAAATAAATAAATAATATGAATAAAATAAAATAAATAATATGAATAAAAAATAAATGTGATATACAACTTGGTATTTTTGCGGGATTATAAAGAATTTAACAATTAATAAATAAATGAAATTTGGTTAGCTTATGCTTAATTAATAGTAATATTAAAATTGAAATTTAAAATTAATTAAATTGAAAATTAATTAATATCAATATTAATATTAAGAAATAATTGTGATCTACAGCTTGCCATTTTTGCGGAATTATAATGAATTTGCCAATAATAAACAAATGAAATGACAGATAGTAAAAACAACTGACGCTCACGCTCACGCTGCCCTACCTCTGTGGCGTGAGCGTATGTGAGCGCAAAATATGTGCTACGAGCATCCTACGATGGTGCTACGAGCGTACTTATGCCACACTCACAGCGCCAAGTCGAACGATGAAAGCGCGCTCACGGCGCGCTCACAGCGCGTAAGCGTCCAAGTCGAATGCACCCTATGTGATATAAGAGTGTCACATTTATGCGCGCTGAAAATTGACGTTTGTTGCAGTTTTTAGGTTATGTTGTTGCGTTCCTCGTTACGTTATTTTCTAATCTGTACCATCACAGTTTACTCGAGAAGTTATGGATGATTTCAATTTGTATCCTTTTAAACAATTACGAAATAATCATGTCTTACCATTATTGCTTATATATACTTAACGATAGCAGGCTGTTAGAATTGCCATGTCCAGATAAAAGAATTGCAGAAATATTATACGAAGTGTTGATGATCGACGCGGAACCTTCCCGGAGTACCGTGAAAAAGAAGTTTACATTAGAAAACAACGTTATAAAAGTGTACGTATTTACTCAAATAACGCCAAAAATTCAGTTTTGAATTCTGATAAATTTATTGCAGGCGTTGTTCAAGTCCAAATGTGAAAAATTTACGTGTCGCCGTGAATGGTTTGTTTGACAATTTTTATTTGGTTCTGCAAACGATTGATACTTTTGGGCCCGCAAACCCCACCTATGATTACTATTTTGCTGATTTAATTGCTTCCAAGTGATTCTTAGCAATTCAAAATGCCAGAACACACACCTGCCCCTACACCGAGCAGAGCGGTGTATGGATTTGCATTATATTTAACAATGAAATCTTGTTTTTTTGCTTATGTTGTATGGTCTATTGTACCTGATGATATTCTCTTATTGCTGAATTTATATTATCTCCCACAAAAATATTGGGCTATTGCTGTTCCTGTTCAAGTACTTGTTGTAATATTTGTTTTTGCATTTTTTATATATCCCGGTATGAATTTATGTTTGTCACCAAACTTTGATGATAATTCAACTGTGACGGATAAAGCTGCCATATTTCGTTGTTGCTATCAAGAAGATGGTTATAAATGTCACGAAATCATTAAAGATGATAAGTGGATCACTGAAAATCTTTGCTCTAAACATATGTTAGAAAAACCCAAAGAAAGTACAAAAGTCGTCACTAATAAAAAAACAAAAAGATATTGTGATTGTATTAATAAATCCAAGTGTATGGCTTTGAATGAACCTAGTTTTAAAAAACCTGTTGAACCAGTGACTGAGATACCATTGTCGGAAGTAAACAAAATTCTTTATTTATAATTGTTATAGAAGTAGTAAATTCAGCAATAATGAATATAATAAATATTTTAATAAACTTTTCTTTTATAATAAAATATTAGTATTGTTATTATGAAAATACAAACATAAATCTTTACACAAATAATGATAACATTTTGATTTTTTTATTACTTTGTCCACTTTATAATACAAAAGATAAGGATTTGATAGTATACTAGTAAGATGACCATACATGTGGAGTTTCACCTTGCATTTTGCTTTTTTCTAGAACCAATGTTTGACCTGGATTGTTTCGAGTTTTAGATAAGTATGGGTTGAAATTGAATTAGCGCTACTACTTGTTAACAACTTGCTTATATAGTATTCCATAGATGCTCATATGAAACTATACATTAGGATATAGAGAATCGCTGGATGCAAAAGTCTGAAGATGGGTTAAAATATTCTCAATATCGAATTTTCTTTTTCAAATTTTTGAAAATGCAAAAAAACTATGAAAATAAACTTGGCACTGCCTGGCACAAGTGGTCTATACATGTAATAAGATTTGACTTGAAATAGACACACTAAAAGTGATAACTTAATTAAGGAGAAAATTGTTTAGAATTATATATCAGACTGAAATTGGAAAAAACATGCATCAAAATAATATAAAAAGTTTTGAACATAGTTCCAGTAATTCTGATAGTTATTGTAACTTCAAAGAATATTTATTTTAAATCATTCAAGTTTTTTAACATAAATACTCTCTCTCCGTCGCCGATTTACCATAACTATAAGTTATCATCCGGGTTTTGAAATAGAAGAAAAAATAACTGGAACCAAGATGAATATATTACCTTAGTACTAGTTAAAATAAGGCTATTTTTGTTTCGGAACAATCTTACAATATTTTTTGATATTTTTTTTTAAATTATCACCTTTTTTCATTATCTCTTTTATTTACAACTGTCCAGTTAAGGATTTTTAATAAATTTGTGGAATTTACAATAGTCGGCAGTAAAGGGACATTGTATACTAGAGGGGCATGTTTCAAGTTAATTAAATACCAATGCATATACAAAATATATTATTAAATAGTTTATTGAATTATTTCAGCGTCATTTACATTTACAATAATTAATAAATTTATATTTAAGTAAATTTCAACATATGCTCATATAAAAATATAAACAAATATAATTCAATTGGTAATTTATATTACTTAAATTTTGATGTAATTATATAATTGTTAGCCAACAAAATGAATTTTTTAATGTTGCATATGATTAGAACAGTTGATATATCAGATATGCAGTAATGTAGGAATGTATATATATAATTATCATTTTACAAGAACATATAAGCTTGAATAGCTGCAATGGCAAGTAAAACATAACTCAATGCTGCATTAGCTGAAGCTCCATTTCTGGGTGTGATTTTCTCCCCATTGCATTTTTCATCTTTGCAGAATTTGCAATATTCATTTCCCTCCTCTTTGCACTTATCTTGCAATTCTTTAGTCATATCCACAGTACAACCTCGAATGGTATCTTTGACTGCAATGCAAAAAATAAGTTACTAAATTGATTCTAAACATATATAAAGAAATAGTGAGTAGAATAGAAATGAATTGTTTACCAAGTTGAAGAGTATAACAACCCACGTCGTCTTTGAATTGAGTAGGAGCCTCACATTTTTTAGGTTCGAATTTTTCTACGCTCTCATCACATGTTTCTTCTCCTTTCTTTGTAGACCGGCATCTGTAAGAGACAATTATATATATATAACATTAACAACTAAGTAGTTACCTAATCAGATCATTGATAAAAATGTAGGATCATATATGAATTTGGATGTAAAGTGGTACTGAAAGTTAGAAATTCCACGTGACTAGTTACAAAAGATCAGTTACTATTGTAAGCAATAGTATGAATTCATGATATTTTGAAATATAATAAATAGCACATAATTAAACAAGACTTTACTTGTAACACTCGTGGTACGCTTTCTTCTCTTCATTGCATTTGTCTGCCTGGCAGATTTTACAAGTTTCGTCCTTCTCACCATTGCACAATTTGTATAATTCTGGATTATCTACTGTTAAGTCTTTTAGACAGCCTCTTTCAGTTTTTCCATCTGTAAAATAAAAATAAACTATATTTTCAACAAATATTTGAAGTTTCATAACGAACACGATTTAAAAAACTGTAAATTATAGCATACTTAATGGGACTATTTTGCGTTCGTATGATGGAAAATAATTTCTAGCTCTTTATAAGATTATTATTTATATTAATTATTTTAACTCACCTTTGAAGTATGTATAGCAGCTTTCTGCTTTTCCAACATAAATGTTGGTTTCGCATATTTTGATTGTGGTGTTTTTGGCAATTGTCCACTGGCAAAGTTCATTAGAACTGTCGCATTTGTTACAAGTGAGTTTTGCGAAAGCTGTTACATTGTTGCAGCCGTTTCCATCAGCCGTCTTGCATGTCAAAGATTCATATTCGGGTTTGTTGTGCAAACTGTCGGGATCGCTGGTGCAGCCACGTTTCACTTTTGTACCATCTATTAAATGTAAAAAAATGATAAATGATATATTGCTTTAAGGAGAATTAATATTAAGAAAAGAAAGATTTATAAACACATGAAATGAAATGTGATAAACGTTTTCAACTATTCCTTTCTTCTATGAATTTTTGTAATAAAACAACTTTTCATATTTTAGAAAGGCAATGAACGCTATTATCATAAAAAGTTCCATCAAAATCGGCGAAAATAATTTTTCAACAATTACGAAGAAACATATTCACCAATCTCTATTACAAACTAATTGTCCCAACTGATATCTTTCGAACAGTCTTAAAATTTTCAAATCGGTTCAGGATTTTTGGCGAAAACTTGGACAAAAATATATGGTTAGTTAAAACGTATGGGATTTCAATTGACGTCGAGTAGTAGTGACGTCGGTTTTCACTTGGAAATATAGATAGCAATATGTTTCCAAGTGAAAATAGCCCTTGCACCTTGCACGGCATTGCTGCATAAATAGAAAAATTATCTCTTTTAAAACCGCGCGCGGTCAAATTGACCTACAATTAAAAAGTTGTCGATTTTATTATTTAGTTCATATAATAATTGATTTATTGTTTAAAGAATATAAAATATTTTTTTTAAAAGAAATTATAGGGAAAAAAACAAAATTAAATATTTATACAGAATGCCATATATTACATTATTATACTTTATTCGTCTTTCCCACATTATATACCAATTATTTTATTCTGAAACTAGCCGACCCGACAGACTTCGTCCTGTCAAAAAAATTTGTAATGTGGCGATGTTTTGTTCCTACCTTTTTTCTATTCTTTGCAAAAAATTATCCTGGACAGAACCGTCACCCTGGTAATAATTCGGTGTGAATTAAAAATAATTAAATAAAATACTATACGCATTTAAAAGTGAGTAATTTTAATCATGTAAATCATAATTCAAAAATCAGTTCAAATTTTATTGTAGTGCTTTGTGATAAACGATGTTTTTTGTTTGATTACCTGGCGCATAGACAAACAAATCTGATTGTTTTCCAATACGGGAACAGACAACATACAATTTTCCATGTGAAAAACATGGGTTGTCCAAATTAATACCACAAACACTTAATGATACCATAAACGCACTGGAAACTGTAGTCGTTTAATCTCAAATGGCACATCAGCCGGAATCATTGGGATGCACGGTGCGAGAACATCTTCTGCTTTATACTATATCCTTTCAATATAGTTGCTTCCATCACGTTGTTTGGTAGTTTTTTAAAGTTTTTAGTTAAAGGCGCGGTTGGTCGATATTTCGCAATATTATAATTGCCGATCCAACCTTTAATTGAAGATTGTGAGGTGACAATCCTAGCAAATCCAGCGAGTTTAAAAACTCCGGTGGATCGTCTTGGTTAGTTGCCTAATCAACTGATTCGCCTATAATTTGTTCTTGAATTTTGAAATTTTATTCATTTACATTAATGTTTTTGCCTGCCAATGTAGCTCGTTAATTAATAGAAAGATATTTATATGTTTATATAAATATATCAAAAATTAGATTATCAAAAACTACACAAAATGCCATGACATAGATCATTGTTTGTTCTACAAATTTCGTTGCCTACTCGATTAAAAAAGAAAAGGGCTTTTCTTAGGGTTTTCCCGGCAATTATTCGATTTTTTCTCGCCGTAAGAACCATCCTTGGATTGAAACGAACATTTTAAAAAAAAGAATTGGCCAAATTCGTCCAGGCGTTGTTGAATTATGCGCTTACCAACACATTTTGCGATCCATTTTTATATATAAGAAGATGTACATTTGACGTAAATATATTTGTTGTTTTGTAACTTGCACTAAATTCATAAATCATAAATCCACACAAAGCCTAATTTGAGAAGCCTAAATCTTCATTTTATTCAGCTTTTGAATATGCACTGCAGTTAACATATTAACCAAAATAAAAATTCGAGCCTAAATATGCTTATACTGGTCTTTCTATACACAATTGACGCATTTATGCACCTAAGTTCAATATGTTGAAATATAACTATAAAGTTTCCACCTACAAATTTTCGACTTCATGTTACATTTCTTAACAATCTGGTCTGCCACATTTTTATCAAACAATGTACTAATACAAAATCTAATAGTTTTCGGTACATTTTTGCTGCTTATATTTGCTGCTTATATTGGATAAGTTTGAAAGTTGGAACAAATATTTTTGCGGTTTACTTTTATACACTGTGAGAGTAATATTTGATTTATACAAACTTCTTCAAAATTTATGAATGAATTTATCAGTTTTAAAACAACGACCCAATTCATCACCCAACCCAATCATTCAGAATTTTATTCTAAATTTGTCTGATTAATTTGATATATTTGGTATAAATCTGCACCTATATTTCGACGGAAACATCTTCCCAAATAACATTATTTTCCACCGCTCAAATTGACGGACCGCGGTATGCCACATAGCATTTTTTTTGGAAAATAGAAAAAAATAATTAAAATCAAATAGTGAAGAAAATATTATAAGTATGTTCTAAGAATTTGTCATATAGTTTGATAATGGTATTTTAACGTTTAAAAATGCCTAAGTTACACCCAAAGTTTGAAACGGTTAATTTGACCGGCGTTGTAAGTTTTAGAGTTAAGGGGAAAGTCTGCTTTAGAGGCTTGAAAAAATCGTTTTTTTTTTTTACAAAAATGACTTCCAAAACTAGCCAAGAATATATCCCTAAAATTTCAGAAACAACTTCAAATTATGCTCGAAATCACAGAAGAAATAGTGAGCAAGCGTCAAGCGTGTATGCTAGCGGAACGAAAACTTCGAGGCGCGATTTTCCCGCTAAATGACACCTGCACGCTCGTGGCGCATCGGCAAAATGCTTGTACTCGGCATATTATGATATATATTTTAATGAAAAAAATTGAGAAGAATGTTGAAATATATAATAATAAAACCTGAAAGTTTTATTTTAAATATTTTTTTTTCCTAAAAATTCCTCAAAAAAGCGATTTTTTGAAGCCTATATAGCAGGCTTCCACTTTAAAAAAAATGTACCAATAAAATTTATAACACAAAGATAGGACAACTGTTTGGGTTGCCATCTATAAATACTCACGAAGCTAAATAAGTCAAATGATCAACACAGCTTGTAGCAGCGCCGTTCAGCAAGTTCTGATCGCTGCCTAAATAATACAAATTGAAATTGGTGCAGACGTTTTTGCGAAATTCTGAACACGATCAAATAGCTCATATATACACACGCAAATACATACTTTTTTTTGGGAACGTCGAGAAAACATAATATTGACAAATCCGGTTTCTTGAGAAAACAATTTCTTTCTTCCGGAAGGTAAAACAAAGTAATACATTATTAATCTGTTCTGAAATCTTGGGTATAGTCAAATTGTATTTTCTTACTTATGGATACACTTGTGTAGCATAATTCACGGAAATTGAAATTCAGACAAACAGTCGGTTTTGCTCCATTTTCAGCAATTTCTTTTCCGCATTCGTCGTTGGTGTCGGAGTCGCAATGATGGCACAGGGGCCTCTTCGCAGGCACTAATCCTTTGTTGCAATCTTTTCCTTTGCACTTCAAACAATTTGGTTCTGTACAACCTTTCAAATTCAAACTGGAGGCACAACCGCGAATTGTCTTTGCTCCTAAAACATCAAACTCTTTTAGTGACAATGTTTTGACAAATTATGAACATATTTTTAACAATTTAGTTTTATAAAGTATTTACAATATGTTGGGTGAAAATAAAATAATTACACGTCAAAAGTCAGGATAAATATTTAATTTTATTACAAAATTTTACAATAAATGGGGATTATTTAAAAATCATTAAAACATAATCAATATAGGAGAGTACAGATGAGATTCAATTTTATGCACTTTGTAATTTTTTATCGTTTCTTTTGGTTTTTATAAACAGTCAATTTTTTTTATTTTGCGTGACGAACACAACGAACGTACAACAGAAAATTACATATATAATTTGGCGTATAATATTAAATATATTCAATTCATATTTCAATAGATCAATTTTTATTTTATTTTATGATAGTAATGAACATTTATAGAATAAATTATCATTTACACGCAGCTGTTATAAAAAACGTTTTTATCCGGTAGGTGAAGAATTTGTTTCAAAAGAACGATTGTTAACAAAAGTTATTGTTTCTTTTTATTAAGAACTGATTGATGTATATTTACCATCCACTTTGGAAATACATGAATCTTCATCAATATATTCACATCCACTCGATTTTGAGTTTAGGTATTTCTCATCGCCCTGTACACACTCAATTCCATCTTTATCAGAATCGCATGTATTGCATTTGAATCCATTACCTAAATTGGACGTAGTAATAATTTATTATTTAATTTACTATATACTTCCTTATTTTAGTAAGTTAAGTGAATGTTTCACTAATTGAGCAATTTCTCTCAATAATGTACACTATTTTAGGCTATACATAATGGCTGACTAGAAATTAAGGTTATTTCTATTATTTGTTATAGCTGATTCCATCTATTCTATTCTATTCTAGTTAAAATTCTGAGTTAAAAATAATAGAAATAACCTGATAACAACTCATCGTTCGATTTCAAAATAAATTGTAATATTTAATGTAATATAAAATTCAAGCATATCTATGCTTGAAATAATAAAATGATTTTAAAGAGATGTTTAATAATTCTGAAAATTTTAATTTGGCCCGACATTTAATATTCGACACTTTATTTTAAATATATATACAACTTTCAGATTCATTATATGATATTCTGTATGAAATGCTTTTTGCGTTCTATATTTTAATTTTTTGCGTTTTAATTTTCAAATATGTACTTCAAATTCAAATATCTTGCTAGTACCTACTACTTTTAGCATGAAATATATTTTGAATTTTTGTCATTATTGGTTCTGATTAGCTATAATCTTGATTTAATTATAATTATATAATTTTACTTCAACATAATAGCTCATATTTTTCTTATATCGGCTTTGTTGAAAATTGTATATTTTTGCATAAAAGGAGGACTGAATTTAAACTTAAAACGCGAGCAAAAAAGTTTCTTCAAAAGAATTTGATTTGCTTTTATTTTTAAACAGACATCTAAGGGTCATATATATATGTTTCTACTTTATACTTGTTATTCTTGTTTTTATCAATTTGGAATAGGCTCAAATGGTTAAGTAAATTCGAAAATGTCGAAAATTAAGGACCACTCTAATCTATATATATATATATATATATATATATATATAAGAAAAAAAAACTTACCGGTATTAGGTTTAAGTGCATCTTTGTTACATTTATCTGAGGTGCACTTACTGCAATATTTACCAAAATTTGTGCATTTGTCTACAATGTTCTTGCTCATATCCATCGTGCAGCCTCGTGTGGTTTTATTTACTGAAATGAGGAGAAAACTATAGTAAAAGGTGATAATTGAAATATAATTTTCCAATAAGTAATAAAAAAGTATGCAAAATTATTTTGGTTGAAGCTTGACAACAATATTTCTGTTCACAACATTTGATGATTTTTTTGTGCATCATATTAACCAAATTTTCTATTTCCCTGTGATGATTAGCTTCATAATTTACGATGTTAGATGACAGATGTTAGTTTTTGCAAATTTTGACTGTTCAATGAATATGTTGTTTTGCTAAACAATTTTTTAGTTTAAGTGAATCATCAGTTTATTCTGTTATTTTTTTTAAATAATTTAATTAATTTTAAAGTGCTATAACAAGTGTACTGCATTGTTTATTATCGAATAAAATTGGAATAATTTTAGGTACGGAATGAAATGATACCTACCTTGTTGTAAAGAAAAGCATCCTGCATCTTCCTTGTATTGAACTTCTTTAACACATTTGCTTGTTTGCAATTTTGATACGTCATGGCAAGTTTCTAAATCGTCGCATCTGAAACAAAAATGAAAATAAAAAATATTATTAATTGTGAAGGCTGTTCCATTAATATTTAATGATTATTTTGCTTTCATTTAGATAATCTCGTGACAGCGATGTAGACCGATTTAAGGGTTTGGCAAGTTAGATATGTTTTCCCCTTTACTTTAAACTAATATTAAAAAATGCCTTTCGTGTTTTTGAGATAATAGTGGTGGTCCTTCTTACATATGGATATATATATTCTTTAGATTTTTTAACTTCCCGAAGGAGAAGTTTATGTTTTGATCAAAAAATCCGAATTGCTAATTTTATGTTTTCTCGACGTTTCAAGCCATTCTGAATCGAATGAGACCAAATTTGGAAAAAGTATGTGTGTGTGTGTGTATGTGTGTGTGCGTGTATGTGAACAGATTTTTTGCCGTAAATCGACGTTTTCTCGAAAACGGCTGGACCGATTTCAAAAATTTAAAAGCCATTCTACGAGAACTATTGTTTGTCAGTTTTGTGCGACGATCGGCCAAGCCGTTTATTTATAAATCGCAGAAAAGTGAAAAAATTTTCGTCTACGTTTTAGCCCGCAATTCTTAATCGATTTTGAAAATTCAAAAACCGTTCGAAAGATATTGGTTGGGAATCGTGCTGATTAATTTTTGGTAGAGATCGGCCGGGCCGTTTTCTTGTAATAAAGTTTTTAAAAAAAAAATTTCGACGATTTTTATGATTATGTTTTTGACGATAGATACCATAGTCTTCTAGATCATACTAAAATATTACGGCCCTACGACAACTGGTTCAGCTTTAAAAATTCGTCAAAGTTTGCAAAAATCAGTATGGTCTTTTTGGCATTTGTCAAAATTAGACTTTTGATCGACGTTTTCTCAAAAGGCCTGAACCGATTTTAGAAATTTAAAAGCCATTTGATGTATTTCGGTAAGGAATATCGTTTGTCAGTTTTGTGCAACGATCTGCCAAGCCGTTTCTTTGTAATTTGAAAAAAAAGTGTTAAACTTTTCGTCCACATTTAAGCTCATCCTACCGAACCGATTTTAAAAAATCAAAAACTGTTCGAAAGATATTAGTTGGGAATGGTACTTATTAATTTTAGGTGAAAATCTACCGAGCCGTTTTCTTGTAATTAACTGTTGAAAAAAAGTGTTAAATTTTCGTCGACATTTAAGCTCATCCTACCGAACCGATTTTAAAAAATCAAAAACTGTTCGAAAGATATTAGTTGGGAATGATACTGATTAATTTTAGGTGAAAATCTACCGAGCCGTTTTCTTGTAATTAACTGTTGAAAAAAAGTGTTAAATTTTCGTCGACATTTAAGCTCATCTTACCGAACCGATTTTAAAAAATCAAAAACTGTTCGAAAGTTATTAGTTGGGAATGATACTGATTAATTTTAGGTGAAAATCTACCGAGCCGTTTTCTTGTAATTAACTGTTGAAAAAAGTGTTAAATTTTCGTCGACATTTAAGCTCATCCTACCGAACCGATTTTAAAAAATTTAAAACTATTCGAAAGATATTAGTTGGAAATGATACTGATTAATTTTAGGTGAAAATCTACCGAGCCGTTTTCTTGTAATTAACTGTTGAAAAAAGTGTTAAACTTTTCGTCCACATTTAAGCTCATCCTACCGAACCGATTTTAAAAAATCAAAAACTGTTCGAAAGATATTAATTGGGAATGGTACTGATTAATTTTAGGTGAAAATCTACCGAGCCGTTTTCTTGTAATTAACTGTTGAAAAAAAAATTTAAGCCGATTTTCATGGAACTTTTTTTGGCGATATACATCATGGTCTTATGAACTTACTGTAATATTACGGCCTTACTACAAGTAGTTTAATTTTAAAAATTCGTCAAAGTTTGCTAAAATTATTATCGTTTTTTTAAAAGTAGGATTGATGAAGTATATTATTTACACATTTTTTTTATTAAGTCGATTATTTACACATATCGGGAAGTTCATGTAACTTGCCTCAAGGCAAAATACCAAACCAACTAGTTTTGTTTGGCGTTAAAACATGTTTTTGCAATATTTATATGCACCCAAATAGTCCAAGTAAAAAGCATTTTTTTATAATATTTAAGTAAATATTTGCCACTGTACGCGTGTATTCACCTTGTTTTTAATAATTGCTTTTCAAGAAGCAATAAGTCTGATTATGATAAAAAAAAACAGAAATACCTACAAAAGCAAGATTTATGATAGTAGCATAAATCGTATACATTTATGTTTGTTCTGCCTAATAATTTATATTACATTATAATTTTTATTTTCTTTCTACCCAATAAAGTACATCAGATTGATCTTAATATAATGTAGCGATCATTCCGTAAAAATTTTGAATTAACAATAAAATAGTGGACCTGTTTGCTCCTTGCTTCCCCTTTTGATACCGCCTATAGGGTAAAAAGACTAGATAACAAATTTTGGAAAAACTGCAGAAAAAACATATTTTCACAATGATGAGTTATCTAGGAATATTACTGAACATATTTAGATAGTTGCGGATAAATGGTTCTTTGTACCCCGCCCTATGCAATGTAATCGTCAATTGTATAAAAAAACTTACACATAGCACTCATGAGCTGTGAGTTTTTCCTTATTACATCTATCGCCGGTACATTTTTTGCAGGCTTTACTGTCCGACTTGCAAGCATCATATACTTCGTTGGCCTTGGATACGGATAAATCTGCTAAACATCCTCTTGCGACTTTGGTTCCTGATCGGCATATAAATAAAATAAATGTTAAAAGTTTCAATAAATTGGCGATAATGGTTAAAATTTTATTTAGCTTACTTCATTTTTTTTAGTAAACCTGAATCAAAAATAAACTTATTGTTAGAAAAAGTATTTGTTTGATGTAAGTAAGAGGGGTTGATTACACTTGTAATAGACGATTTTTTTACGTATAATCAACATGATCAAATTTTTAGTTATAGATTCTTCTGAATTAAGATATAATTCAGATATAAAAAACCGTACTTATTGAGTAATGGAATAATTCCACAAAGAATTTGAGCTTTTACGCATCGCTTTCGGTATTTTATAATGTATAATTAAATTTTTCAAATTATTTGATTTATCTGCTGGATTCGCGTGCTTTTATATACTTTGGCCAATCAATTCTAGAGTTTACCTATTTTGTGTTTGCTGTTAGACATTAGAGTAAAATTTCCTTAAATTGCGAGAGTTGATGAAAGCAAATTTAAAGTTCTATTGAACAATCTTTTAAAGACTTTTAATAAATTTATCACACAAAAAGTGTTTTTTCAATATAAATATTTAATTATTAGGAACTATCACTTCTTGAACTTAACTTCTGTGTGTCGATGTACTAAAAGCACCAGGAAATACAAATGTCATATAAAAGACCTATTTTTTCATTTATACTTCATTTTATTTAATGGTATAAAACTGAGATTCATAAATAATTTTATCTTTAAGCTACAAATATGTACAGAACATAAAATTATGATCATTATAACTTTTGTGGTTATGGTATTGCTAATTGGGTATTTTTTATTTTCAGGAAGGATTGTATACAAAAAATTTCATTATGTGGTTTTACGAAGTAACAATGCTATTCAGAAACAAATTATTGTTTGTAATATTATTTCTGGCAGTATGTAGCCTTAACTGCACCACGTTGTGGAAGAGTAGTCGAAGTTCAAAGGAATTATGATAATGCAACCCAGAAGATTAAAAGGTATGTTTACTATAAATATTTTTTCTTTGTTGATTAACCATGTTTTTAACATCCACTGGCGCATAAAATCAAATAACTAAAAATAATAGCCCAATAAATTAACTATTTGATATAGTGTGAGTGTCCTAAATTGTTTCATAAAAATTTAAATAATTTTTATGACAATTTATAGAATATAATAATTATTTATTACCTTTAGTGTAAGAGTAGCAAACTTCATCGAATTCTGTTGTATCTTTACATAATGCTAAATTAGGATACTTTTCTTTCATTGACCACTGGCACAATTCATCGCCCTCAGTGCAGACATTACATGTCACAGGTACCTTACCATTGCAACTAGATTCTTTGCATTCCAAGGATACAAAGGTTGTGTTTTGGTGCACACTGTCCGGATCATTTGTGCAACCACGTCTAACTTGAGAACCTTAAAGACATGTTTCAAATAATATATAAATTGGTTGACTATTCTTACAATTTTTAATCTGATTTCAAATCAAATATTATTACTAATTTAATAATATTTTAAATATGAACAGAACACTTTTATGTAGGTAATTTTTATATTGTACCATGAATTTTATCATCCATGCAGACAAATAACGAAAATTAATGTCTTTCTGAAATTGTTGCAATTTTTGATTAATTGGAAAAATTATAAACTGTCTTAATATTTCAAACTTTTAGTGAGTAAATTTGTCAATAACGTTAAATATAAAGTATATTACATATATAGTACTGAACATTTTAACTTAATCTGTACTTATAACGATTTTTAATGTTAATTTTTATTTCTGGTATAAAATCATTTACCTTTCTAGACAAAATTTTAAAGCTTTATTCGAATATTTTGTAAATTTAAAAATAATCTTGAGCATCTTGATTTATATTAAAAAATAATTTCTTTGAGAAATGACAAAATAATCAAATGATAATTACTCAAATAATGATAAATGCTCAAAAAAATCATCTTTCAATATAAGTAGTTCGAAATAACAATATTGTTTAGCATGAGAAATTAGTTTTTATGTGGTTACAATACTAGTTATCTTATTTTATGCTATCTAATCTGATACCTTCTTTGGCTACGCTGGTATAACATGATGGTTGTTTCTCGTACACCAAGCAAGACTTTGGTTGTACACCGGTTATATCGTTGCCGCAACTAGGATCCTTCAGGCTGTCGCATTGATGACATTCAGGTCGATTTTCAGGAACAACCACATTATTGCATGCTGAACATGTACAAGATATGCAATTTTCGCCTTTGCATTCTTTTAAGCCGTTATTCTCCAGAACATCAGATAGACATCCACGAATAGTCTTTCCACCTGGAAAATGTGATCCGACAGAAAATGAATCAAAATTTTTGCATAATGTGAATACAATTCATAACTAGTTGGTATTGGAATTTTGCCTTAAGGCAAGTTACACGAACTTCCCGATATGTGCAAATAAACGCCTTGATCCATGATGAATAAATTAATTTATTAGTGGTTGAAAGGATTTATTACACATTATTGAAAATCGGACACGTTAACCCGGTCGGAGTATTTTCTTAAAGCAAATTTTTAAAAATCAATAATTTTTATAATTGAACCAGTTTTCGTAGGTCTTTGGTTTAGTATGTTCATTAAGACCAAGTACTCTATCGTTATACCAAGTAAATCGTCTAATTTTAATTTTAACAAACGCCAGAAAAACTACTCATTTTCTCAAACTCTAATGAATTTTAAAAATTAAACTACTTGTCGTAAGGCCGTAATATTTAAGTAGGTCTATAAGGCCATGATATATACCGCCGAAAAAAGTTCCATGAAAATCGACTTAATTTTTTTTTTCAACTGTTAATTACAAGTAAACGGCTCGGTAGATTTTGTTAGTAAAACTAATCAGTATCATTTCCAACTAATATCTTTCGAACGGTTTCTAAATTTTCAAAATCGATTTAGAATTGTGGACTTAAACGTGGACGAAAAATTTTTCACTTTTCTGCGATTTACAAGGAAACGGTTTGGCCGATCGTTGCACAAAATTGATTAGTCTTCATCGAGATACATCGAATGGATTTAAAATTTTTGAAATGGGTTCAGCCGTTTTTGAAAAAAGGTCGAATTAAGGCAATAAATCTGTTCACATGCACGCACACACACACAGGCACACACATATTTTTTCCAAATTTGGTGTCATTTGAATCAGAATGGTCGAATTTGATCAGAATTGAAACGCCCAGAAAACATAAAATTAGCGAATCGAATTGTCTGATGAAAACATAAACTTTTTCTTCGGGAAGTTAAATTTTTTTGTATTTTTATTGCAAGCTTTCGCTAAAGACGAGTATAAAAGATATGATATTTTCACTATTGGTGGTTATTTTTGTAATCATTTTTGTTAATTATTAAAAATTTGAGTTGTAGTTTAAAAAATGTAGTTCTTTTTCGCGGATTAGTTAGGGTTATTGGCTTTCAGAGTTTTTAAGTTCAATACCTGTCTTAGACAGCCTGATGTCATGTAGTAGTGCAAATAATCTTTCAAAAATAACAGTATTAGAACAGAAATTGTAATAATAAAAAATATGAAATAGAGATAGACATTTGTTAAAATTTAGATAATGGCCCTAAGATACTGTAAGCCATACGTGTCACAATTCTCCTTACAATATTCTAGTATACTAACACAAATCAATAATTTATTAATAAATGGGTTATTATAGATATTTATGATAGGTATATTAGTTCATGAATTCTTTACAAGCAGAAAGTTCTTTGAATCTTGAATCATCGGACGCTCAGTTCTCTCAAAAACTGCCATTTTTTACGCATTTAGCTCCGCATCTTCGAAATGGCTAGGCCTGCCTTTGCCAAAAACTAATAAACACTTCTCCTAATCATTACTAATTGAATGTTTTTTAAATCGTTCAAATCGGATTCTCCGTTCTCTCAAAAACTCGATTTCTATTTTCTGCACTCTTTGCTCTTTATCTCCGTAACTGCTGGACCTGCCTTTGCCAAAAACTAATCAGCTCACCTCCCTATCAATAGGAATCGAATGTTTTTTAAACCATTTGAATCGGTTGATCCGTGCGCCCGAAAACGTGACTGGAAATTTGTATCCATACATACACACACACACACACACATCGATTTTTTTTGAGGTATGCCAAATTGTTCAGAAACCTTCAAAACGTCGAGAAATGTAAAAATTTTCAATTTCGATTTTCGGCCCATTACAATAACTTACCCTACGGGAAGTTAATTAATTATTGATGCTATTAGCGAGGGAAAAATAGATAATTATGAAATATATAAAAATATGTTGATCGGTAAATTAATAACATATAAAAAATATACACATAACTTAATTATGTGTTTCATAATTTCATAAATTTTCTGTATTTATTACCATTCATCAATGAAACGCATGTCGTTTCGTTTATGAAAGAACATGTTTTCAAAACTCCCTTCCACCACGTGGCATCAACTGATAGATCCGAATCCACACATTTAATTCCATCCTTTGAGGAATCGCAAGTGTAGCATTGTTTTACTGGTTCTGAAAAAGATTGATAAAAAAGATAATTAAACAGATAATTTTTCATTTCAAAGTGTTGCATCAAAATATGTTTGATTTGTGTTGGTGATTTGATGTGCTTGATTCAGATTATGTTATAGAAATTGTTAGGCTTTGGGTAAAATGTGTAAAGTTAGTGAGTGGGCTAAATCTTTTTCTAGAGGAAAGTACGTAATGGCAATTGGTTAAAAGCTTCTCAAACTGTTGAGCTTTGCTCAAATCCCACGCTACGTACAACCTGATATCCATTTTCATTTGAAAGTATAGACCCAAATAATAAGTAACTTATGTGAAAAATTATTGTAGTAAAACCACTTTTGGTAAGCCTATAATATTTTAGGATGTTCTTTAAGACCATAAATGATAAAACAAAGGTAGATCTTGACCAAAATCGGTGCTTAAATTTTCAAAATCCGTTTAAGATTTTTTGCAAAAACACTCGCTGATCATTTGGTAAGACTAATCATCGCGAATCCACATCAAACTTTGCCAAATGGCTTTTGATATTTTTAATTCGACGCAGTTGTTTTTGAGAAAACGCCGATGAAAAGTCAAATTCTGCCTCACATACACGCGACAATATTTTCTCCAATTTTGGTGCCAAAAGATTCCGAATGATTTGAACCGTAGTTAACTCGAACAAACATAAAATTAGCAAATCGCAGTTAGTTATGTATAGTAAAATAGTATATATTTAACAATATATGAGTTAAATAATAAAAAACGGCTATATTATAATTAATTTGTAAAATTATATGACTGCCAGGTTATTCGGAAAGTAATGCTATCCATGCCAGACAGAAATTAATTTATTAGTATTGTTGATAATAGTATGCCAGTGTTATACAAGCATTCTATTTGGATATCTAGTTGTCGAAGCTCTGCCACAAGAAAAAAACATTACTTAATAATACCTAATATTTTTTATATCTTTATTTATTATTTTGTATTATAAGACTCAGAGTCTTATAATACAAAATTGTTAACATAGGTAATAAAAAGAACAATCAAATAAAGTACATATACAATATTCATAAGAAATAACAAAAATTAAGAAACTGAAGGAAAATAATAAAATGTAATAAAGAAATAAAAACAAAAAAAAATAGCTTGGTGAGAGATGTTGCCGACTAAGATATCTAATATCTTGCAAAATGACTGATATCAATAATAGGAACTTGTTTGAACAATCATACTCAGTATAGAATTATAGATAGTCTGTTTTACCCAGCATTCTCTACTATCTTTTATTCCCTCTTGTTTTTTATTCATGAATTCTTGTACTATATGTTACAATTAGTTAAAATTTATAAACACACGTACCTTTGTTTGGGACAATTTTTTCTTTGTTACATTGGTCTGTATCGCATTTCTTACAGAAACCACCGTATTTGTCACATTTTGTTTTCAAACTATCCGTCATGTCCATAGAGCATCCTCTTAATACTTTATCGGCTGGAATACAAATAATCTTTTAAAAAATTGCATTTATTTTAAATTGTACTGAAATGAAAAATCATAAATATATAAAATCATAATAAATAAAATTATTTACATTGTTGTAAAGTGTAGCAGCCGGCATCTTCTTTATATTGTTCAGGTTTAACACATTTTGCTGCTGTCAATTTTGAAATATCATGGCAAGTTGCAGACTCACACCTATAAAAGTAATGTTATTTTTTATATTTGACAAAAAATCATTGATTTTAAAATACTGATTAATCTCAGTTTGTGAAGGTTTACGTAGATAAACAAACTGAACTGCACACATTATGAAAAAAAGCATTAAGGAAGAATTTATTATATGACATGTATGGGACATAGCGCTTCATAGATTTTAAAAAATGAAATGAATTTAAACAAACTTTCAAATGAATAAATATATTGAGTCGCAGAAAACCTGCATTAAATATATACCGCAATATTGAGTTTTCTGTCTGATAATATTGAAGAGTATATCAGATACGAGAAATTATGAAGAGAAATATAAGAAATAAAATAATAAAAAGTTAGAAATAGTGCATCAAACAAAAGAATCAAATACAGTAGCTTTTAGAAATTCAATGTCTAATTACTTGAAGCATTCATGAGACGTGGTTTTGTCCTTATTGCAGTTTTCTCCAGCACATGTTTTGCATAGTTTGCTATTAGAATCTTCACAAGCCTTTAGTACAGGATTGCCTGAGTCCAAATCTTTTAAACAACCTCTGGAAATACTTGTACCTGCATGATAATATTTAGGAATAAAGTAATCGAATTTATTTTTATTTTCGAATTGGCTTTACCAAATTACAATGTTGCATTCGTGTAATAATATTATTTATTATACGCTATTCGATAAACATAATGTATGCACATAACAAAATTTACTTCATAATGACGTTTATTAACATCTCGCAGGGAAGTTTCAGCAATTTGCTTTAAAGCACGATACCATGCGCTACTGGTTGTTAATATTATTAGTTGTCTTGTAGAATGATGTATTATTTTGTAATTAATCTATTTGCACGCAGTATTTTACTTTAAGGTAAACAATCGACTTAATCAATTAGAATTGGAACTTTATTTTAAAAATAGTTTTTCATGAAAAATTAATGCGATTTTCAATTGATATTTTTCAAAGAGACTTCTATTAATAAGTGTATTTGCATTAATTATATTTCACAAATACGCGCTTAGAACAAGTACTGTGTATGCCCTAAAAGCACAACTTTTGATTCTAAACTCAAATAAATTTTTATACTAAAACTGCCTGTCGTATTATATTTTTATGTTTAAGGCTATGAACTCTATCGCCATCTAAAGTTTTATTCAAAAATGCAAATACACTTAAAAAGGTGCAAAAAGATTGGTGAAACTGTGAACAAAAAAAAATGTCTTTTCTGCTATTTCTAAAAAAACGGCTCGCATGATCGTCGCTCAGAATTATTTGAAACGTCGAAAAAACAAAATTAGTCGAATTTTCTGGCGAAGATATAAACTTTTCTGGTTAAAAAATATAACCAGATATAAAAAACATCATTTATTGAGAAAGGAGCTATAAGATATTCAATAATACGATTTTTTTTCAACTTAGATTTGAAATTTCGAACTTATATTACTATTTGTAAAAATCTAATACAAATGATGTATAGTTATAAGAAATACATGCAAAACTATGTGAAAACAAAGTCTAAAAAATATAATGAGTTAAAATATAATAAAAAGTAAATTATGAAAAACTATTACGATTATAATTGAACACTATATCATGTAGCAAAATTTATTCTTTGAGCACGGATTAATAGTTTCTTATTATTTGTTAATAATTAGCTTTATGAAATTTCATTGCCTTCAAGCTAGGGGCTGTTTGTAACAGTTTGTTTTAAATTAATTATCTTGAGATTTACGGATTATATTTCTACAAAATAAAGATGGATTGCTGCTATAACTATTTCTCTACCAAATCAAGTAATAATAATTCTAAACTGTTGTTCATTATTTCACAATTAATCATTTTCTAGAAAAAGTGCGTTGTTACAACTTACCCCGTGTTTAAGGCTAGTTGTAACGCTTACCGAGAAGTAGTAACGACAAGAAAAGGACAATGATGCATCTGATAATATATTCTTTAATTATTCTTAAGAAAATTGACTTGTTTAAGATGTATATAATTCTTGTATGTTACAACTGGGTCCACGGTTTTGTTTCAACAAATCCCAGGTGTGGTTTAACTTTTAAATAATTAACAATCACAAAGATTAATACATTTTGAACGAAATAAGATATATAAAATTTAAAATTAGTCGATAATAATAAATCAAATCGAAATTTTATGATAGATCAATTTTATTTCACTTGTCAAAAATGGCCTGCACAATTCTGTTTACTGCGTTGGGACAGATATGACAATATTTTTATTTTTGAGGGGTTTGCAAGACTTTTTATTTGCCCAATCGAGACAAAAAATATTTTAATATTTTTTAAGATCCCATTGAGAAACGTCTGTTACTAGATATCCTCGTTACACACAGCCCTTAGCGCCCCTACTGCACACCCCTAATATAGTTTCCCGCCAATACGATATAATATAAAAGTATATTTAAATGTATTAAATAGTTGAAGATTCAGTGTTGTTCAAAGCACACTTCACCTTTATGTAAGACTCGCTCATTTGGTGATCAATAATAGTAAATAATAGATTTATTTTAGATTTATTAACCTTTTGGACTTCTTAATTTTATGATTTTTGATGTTTTAAAATTTTAAAAATTTAAATAAAATATCAAAGTCAAATACATTATATAACTTACCATTAACAAACGTGTAACATGAGGGAGTTTCCAACAATGAATTAGTCTTACATTGATGTAATATACTGTTTCTCATAGTCCATTTGCAAACTTCATTCTTTTCTGTGCATTTATGGCATGTGATCGATTTTACGGCGTTTATTGTATTACAACCTGTTCCATCTGCTGAAGTTTTACATACTTTCGTTAAATACTCTTTATTTTGGTGTACACTATCTTTGTCGTTTGTGCAACCCCGTTTTACTTTCAAACCATCTGGAAGAGATTCACATTAAATCACATAAATATATCTTTTATATATTGTCTTGAGATGATGAAGTTGCAAATAATTGTATTTTACACATGCGTTGTTAAAAACATATTAATACTATTAACTTGTGAAATAACCTAGAATTTAACAATATTTAAAATTTAAAGAGAATTTTAAAATTTTTGAAAAAAAAATACCTTTTAGGAAGATTTAATTTTTTTATATTTCGAAATATTTTGGAAATTTTGAACTTCTTAGATAAACATTGGTACGGAATCCATAGAGATGACAATCAAATTTGTTCTTATTATAAAAACATCTATAAAATATCTGATAATTTGATGTGCATATGTCCAATGATCATTAGGGTAAGTTATAGTATTCCCAAAAAATGGAAATGAAAATTTTTATATATCTTTACGTTTTAAAGGTTTCTGAACATTTAGCATACCTTACAAAAAAATAGATGTATGTGTGTGTAAGAAAAAATGTATGTATGTGTGTGTAAGTATGTGCGCATACAATTTTTCGGCGCCTATTTCAAGAACACGGATCAACCGATTTGTATAATTCGAAAAACTTTCAATTTCTCTTGATAAGGAAACGTGCTGATTAGTTTTTGCCAAATGCAGGTCCAGCAGTTTCGAAGATACGGGGCAAAAGGCGCCAAAAATGGTAATTCAGTTTTTGAGAGAACGGAAGGTTTCGGAAATCCAATAAAAAAAAGTAAAAAACGCCATTTGGCGATCAAATGATCATTAGACATATGCACATCAAATTCTAATATTTTATAGGGATTTTATTAACAATAAGTACAAATTTTGATTACATTTCTTTGTTTTTGTTTATCCATTAGACTGCGACGCAGCGCTTACGCGCTCTGATATAATCTGATATCTGATAGTCTAATTTTTTCAACGATTTCAAAAAAGTTCAAATCAATTTTAAAAATTTTAAGGTCTGATGTTATGCACCACTAGTTTATTTCTTTACATTTATGAAAGAAGCCATAAAATCTCATTATTAAATCGTTAGGAATTAGTAAATAAGTTTGAAACTTATACTAGTGTCATAACCATAACCTAAACAAATTATCTCATTATTATGCTTGTACTATTGTCATATGATTAATGTGAATAAACATTAATCAGAATGACATTATTGCGTTAAAACCTTACAACTGAGTCAAAAAATATGAACTTCAAAAAAAGCTTACTTTTGAATTATTTCTGTTTCAGAAAGTCGGCAAATTTTTCAATTGTGAACGTTAGATTACCCAACTAAATAGATCTATTCAACTGTACCACATAATGTAATTTCTATATTTCGATCAAAATATGACCAAAATATATCTGGAGTACGATTTATATGATTGTACGACTTAAACAATCTTACACTACTTTTGCAATTGCTCTTACATTCTCAAATTTTATTACACGTTGATATGAATATATCTGAAATAGATTATTGAGTCTGATCTACTATTTTTCTACTGTTGACATCATCAACAGCATATTATTGCGGTAATTATGGTTTATATATATTTTTTTAAAGTTGCGAAACTTTTTTTCGCAAGTAACAAATTTCTTCAACTTTTTTTATTGATTCAGAAGATCATATTATATGTTACCAAATGCAAAATGGGATAAATTATTCTGCATCATTTTTTTTATTTGAATTCAATTTTTTATTTGGTTATAAAATAATTACCTTTTGAAACACTTGTGTAGCACGATTGATCCTTGTCGTAAATTAAGCATGGTTTAGACAGCAAAAAAACAACTTTTGCTTTACAATTTGGAGTTTCTTCATCACATTGATAACATTTTGGTCTATTTTCTGGAACATTGTCCGTATTGCAATTATCACCTTGGCACTTCAAACAATTTGCTCCTTCGCATTTATCTAGTTTATGCTCCTTCAAAACTGTATCAAGGCAGCCACGAACAGTTGTTCCTTGAATCAGATTATTATTATTATTATTATTGTATATATATATATATATATATATATATATATGTGTGTGTGTGTGTGTGTGTGTCTGTGTGTGTGTGTGTGGCGTGTGGCTTTTCTCCATTTATGCCTAAGCATTCAATAATATTTACTACAGTAAAAGTTCGTTATTCGCGGGAGACACGTTTCATAAAAATTCCGTAAATAAAGAATCCTCAAATACAGGATGGCATTTTATATGGAATCATAGGGATATGTTCTAAGGTGACTAAATAATCCGCAAATAATGAAACAATCGACAAATACAGGAAGGCATTTTATATGGAATTGTAGAGGATACGTTCCAAGGTGACACAATAAAGAAAAATAAATATTGTTGAGAACTATTATTTAATATGCAATATTTTAAATATAATAGATCCCATATTAAAATTAGTTAGTAATAACTTTAGTATCAAATCTAACATTAATATAAAACTTTATATTAATTACAATATATTAAAATAAGTCAATTTATAAAAGTTTTATATTAATGTTAGATGTAGTACTAAACTTATTACTAACTAATTTTAATATGAGATCTGTTATATTTAAGATATTGCATATCACATAATAGTTCTCAGCAATATATAAAACAAATATCATTGCTTATTTTGATTAATTTTGTTGAAGCTAAGGCATTAATTGAAGAACTTTGTAATATTGTTTTGCTTCCTCAATTCAAACACATACTCAACAGTTGCATCTGCAATTTTTCTCTTAAAAATAAGACTTTCCATATACGGATCATTGCCCATATAGAAATCGCACAGTTTCAATTCTTTACTCATAATAAGATTTTTTAAATTAAATGTCACGTTTCTATTATATAATAGTACCGGAATTTTGTTTTGATAACAAACGTTACCGTTGTCGGAATGCATGCACAAAAAATTGTAATAAAAAATAAAGTAAAGATATTTTTGAGAAGTTTTGTGATTTGAGAAATTTTAACAAACAAAATATATTGTTTTATACAGAAAAGGTTCGCCAAGAAATTGTAGTTTTGAATATTTGTTGCTTTCTATAAATGAAAAAAAATCTGTATATATATATATATATATATATATATATATATATATATATATATATACTCGTACCTATATATACCTCCAGAACACCGAGTATCATGATTACTACAAATCTCTTTTACACGCACAAAATGTAAATGAGTAGTATGTTTTGTAGTTTTGCAAGTTATTTAATTATTTAAATTGCATAAATTATGTTCAAGTATTTTAAATGTATGTGGAATAAATTTATTTTTTTTCAATTTGTGGCATTTTAAATTGGTACTTGGTACTTTCATATTTTATATTGCATCTAGTTGTTAATTTTAAAAATAGCCCAACTCCGATTTAGATACAAAGACCCACATTGTTCACTTAATAATTGACACTGTTTTAATAGGAACTATAAATATAGAAACCCTAGAACGCTAGATTATTAACTCGTATGTTTCGGTTGAAGGCCTTGTCATCATAAATTACCAAAAAACTTCAATAAAGTAAATTTATATAACTAAGGTACGATATAATCTTTAACTGCTGCCAAAGTTTCAATTCTGAATAATGAAACGGTTTTTATAAAGTGGCTGTAAATCGCTCTTGTTCTAAATAAATTTAACTCTTTTAAAAGCTTTGCTAGAAGAATATGAATTTATATTATCATTACCATTATTAAATCCAATATAATATAATCTATATTTGATATACCATATATTACCAATCTTTATAAATATTTCAAATATAATAAACTTAGACTATAAAAGAAGCATTTTTTTGTTAATAATCAAGTAATAATTAAAAAAATTAAATCATATGAGAATTTAATTTAGGATTGAACTTACCATTAACATTAACTAATGAAACACATGAACTTTCTGTTGATAAGCACGGTTTTGATAAAGATGTCCATGAAGAACTCTCAAATTCTAAACATTGTGCAGATACCGAGTTGTTCGAGTTGTTCGAGTTGCACTGATAACACTTCAATGCCTCACCTGCAAAGATCAAAACAATATCAAAAAATACTTTTATTCTCTAATTTTTTTTTGAAGATTAACTCATTTGAGATTGTATGTGCAATTGCTTTCCGAGGCTATAAGACCGGTTGCACACCGTGTGTACATTTTTCTAAAAATTTATTTCTTGTTTATATTTTTTTCTTCATTATTCAACTTATTTTTTTGAATTTTTACTATTTCTTAAAAGTTTTCTTTGCATTATATTCTGTTCCTCATTATTGAAAGTAATATAACGATTTTATTTTATCTAATTATTTTGAAAATGAATGCTTATCAGTTCTAATTATGTATTTTTAACTTCCCGTAGGGTAAGTTATAGTAATCGCAAAAAAATCGAAAATGAAAATTTTTATATATCTTTACGTTTCATAGGTTTCTTAACATTTTGGCATACCTTAGAAAAAATGGATGTATGTGTGTGTGAGTGTGTGTGTGTGTGTATGTGTGTGTGTGTGTGTGTATGTATGTATGTATGTGTGTGTATGTATGTGCGGATACAAATTTTCGTCGACGATTTCGGGAACACGGATCAACCGATTTGAATAATTCAAAAAACATTCGATTCGTATTGATAAGGAGACGTGCTGATTAGTTTTTGGCGAAGGCAGGTCCAGCCGTTCCAAAGATACGGGGCAAAAAGTGCCGAAAACGGTAACTCAGTTTTTAAGAGAACGGAGCGTCCGATTTTAATAATTCAAAAAACATTTGACTTGTATTGACAAGATAAAGAATGGATCAAATTTTCATGAGGGCAGGTCTAGCGGTTTCGGAGATCTAACGAAAAAAGTAAAAAAAATGCCATTTGGCGGTCAAAAATGATCATTAGACATATGCACATCAAATCATCAGATATTTTATAGAGATTTTAACAATAAGTATAAATTTTGTTTGCATTCCTATGGGTTCCGTACCAATATTTATACGTTAGACGGCGACGCGCCGCTTACGCGCTTTGACATTTTGTCTCTATGCAGTTAAAGCAGTACGATTGCTTTGAAAAAAGATCTTCCAAAATATGCCAAAATAAAGAAGAAAACATTATTTTTTCCAAAAAAAATTTAAAAAAAAAAAAAATAGATTTTTTTTTGAAAAAAATTTTTTTTCAAAAAAAAGTAATTTTTTGTTTAATTTATAGTTTCTCAAAAATCTTATTTTTTCGAAGTAAAATGTCAATCGTTTTTAAAAAAATAATAATTTTTGGTACGTGAAGTTCCAGCAATTTGCCTTAAGGCACGATGCCTTAATTGCCTTAAGACAGAATTCCACTTACAGCTAGTTATTTTATCTTACATTGCACACGTGGTATTCAATCCGCTCCTCGCAATAAAATTTTTTTTATGACCCGATTTGTGCAATCATCTTATTCACCGTGTGCAATCATCTTATTTTTTATGCTTATGAATTGGGTGATTTCCGTAGTGAATAGGATTTTCATTAAATATGAATAATATAAACAGAAAAATAATCGCTACTGCGGATCGCGTTCGAAAAAAATCGCCGTCTCGAATGGATTAATATTAATTTTTTTTGTTGATTATTGGATGCGTAACCATTTTGGACTGCGCGTTGTTTGATTTCGAATGATGAATTATACAAAAATTAGTAAAACTGGTATGTCAAACAAATTAATACCTGACAACAGAAAAAGAATCACTTATTTTATTCACAAAATATGGTTAAGAAGTAATAAAAGTTAAGGAAAAGTAAGCAAAATAACTAACTTTTCAAAAAAAAGTCCATGAAGAGAACTTCAAAATGAAAATATGTGGTATTTTGTAATGTTTTACATATCTACACGAAAATAAAACATTATCTTATTATTACGTATCAGTAGATATAATAAAAGCCAGAATTGTATATGATATGTCGGCAAAAATAGATGCAAAATAATGGATCCCATAATTAAAAAAGTAGTGAAACAAAATAATTGTTGAAAATCTTTCGATTAGTTTTATATGTGCCATTCAAATGATTATGATACATTTAGTAATTGGATTTTGTTCTTACAAAACGTAAAATTTTTTTCAATGTTTTTAATTTTAAATATTTGATTCCAAGCACAATATATAGTTCAATAACTTCACTGTAACATATTTATATAGTTTTATTATGTTGATATGTTGCAAATTTCTTAAAGCACAATCAAATAAAAATTTTACGAATTGTTTGGTTTGTTTCTATTTTAATTATAATAATTTATAAACTAGATGTAAGTGGCATTTTGCTTTGAGGTTGCATGAACTTGCTGACATGTGTAAATAATCAAGTGGTTAATAAGACTTACAATTAGTAACTATTAAAATTTTGACGATTGTTGAGTCTATGAATTTTTAGCGTGGTGCAATATTCCAAATTTGAATGAATTTTTATAATTAAACATTTTTTTAAGATGTTCGTGAAGACTATGAACATTAGTATTATGCAAAGATTAATAGAAATTGTCTAAATTGTTTAAGAATTATTCACGGCACCAGGAACTAATAGTCAGCACGATTTCCATCTGATACATTTCAAAAGGATTTTAAAGCTTAGTTTAGACTTTCCGGACAAAAAATATTGCACTAACCCGCTAATGGTAAAGAAACGGTTAGGACGATTGTCGTGCAAAAAAACTCTTTGGCGAGTTCTTATCGAATTTCACTAATTGGCAATAGTTTTTGAGAAAACGTCAACGAAAGATCAATTTTTGGCTCAAATACACATACCAAATCTAACATATGTATACTCATATTTACTAAAAATAGTAATTCAGTTTTTGAAAGAACTCTGTCCGATTTGAATAATTCAAACAACATTTTAGTTGTATTGACAAAATGAACAACTGATTAAATCTTTGGGTAGACAGGTCTAGTGGTTTCCAAGATTTAATAAAAAAAGTAAAAAACATCAGCAATTTGCCTTAAGGCACCATGCCATACACCACTGGTTTATTTTGGATTTACGTTGTGCATCGAGAGAATCGAGTGAAACTTCAAAAACTCCGTCGAAAAATTTATAGCTTTGTCAAAGATTTGTATTGTTTCTAATACTCTCTCAAAAACTGTTGTATTTTCATATTTGAATATGATCTATGTGTACTGTGTGTGCATATAGGGAAATATTTATGCCATGGTATAACCCCAGGAACACGGGTCAACCGATTTGAATAATTCAATAAGCATTCGATTCGATAAGGAGACGTGCTGATTTGTTTTTGGCGAAAGCAGGTCTAGCCGTTCCAAAGATACGGGGCAAAAAGTGCCAAAAATGGTAACTCAGATTTTAAGAGAACGGAGCGTCCGATTTTAATAATTCGAAAAGCATTTTACTTGTATTGACAATATAAAAAAACTGGTAAAATTTTTGGTAAGGCAGGTCCAGCGGTTATGGACTCTCAATAAAAATATGTCAAAAAAATGGCGGTCGAAAATGTTTATTGGACTTATGCACATCAAATTTTCTGATATTTTATAGAGATTTTCATAATGTGTACGCATTTTAAGTAATTTTTTTTCGATTCCGTACCAAGATTTTTAATTACGGTTCTCTAGTTTCTTGTTTGAAATTGTTAACTTGCTGAATGATAACATACATACAGTGTCGAAACATAATAAATAGCTAAATTATTCTATCGTTTATTTGGATGCAAATAAACATTTCAAGAATATATTTTAATGTCCAACCAATAAATCTAAAGTTATATGCTGGTTAAATAGCAATTACAATGATTGAAAGAAGTGCAGTTCTCCTACTATAAGTCAAATAGTATAGTAAGGAAAATAGTAGACTTGATATTCTAAAGTTGACAAAGATGTTTTTTTAATTTTAGCATTATAATCGGTGATTTTGCCACACATTCGTAGATAAAATTAATAATTACTTCACGTTCTAATTTTATTTTTAAAGATTGTACATGAATCAGCAAGAATCTAATTTAATGCTTTCGATATTGATATTTATCGACCAGTTTGCGCGTTCAATTATGTCAGATGATATGATATCATATTATCTTTTTTGGCTATCTTCTGGGCCTTGAATTTCGTTGTTCATGAGTTATGCCGAAATTTCATGATTTGATAAATTAATTTGTGAGTAGTGTAATTAATATTAGCATCTTTTCATCTTGAATGATTATTTACAATTACAACTTTGCTAAATAAAATTTCGCAAAATTTTTAAATTATTTATAAAATATTTCCGGTTTTATAATATTTCCTTTAATATAAAACCGAGATTTAGATTTTTTTGTTCGACTTTGAGTCATATTCTTGAATGTAAATTTGCAGCCAATCGTCGAAATAAAAGAACAATAAATAGTAAACTATTTAATACTAATTTATTTTAATACTTATACGGTATTTAAATTTTTTTTTACAAAGTTTAAACAGGTTAATTTTAAATTATATTATAATTAAAATAAATTTAAGAAGTAAAAAGTGGATACATACCACGCCAGGAAAAATACTCACAGAAAATTAAACTAACAATAATAGAAAAAAAACCTATTAATGAAGTAATTTTTTTAAGTTAAGCCAAAAAGTTATGTAGTGTAGCTAATTACACGTATGACAAGAACCGAGTGCTCCCATTAGAAGCCGAGGGTTCACGAAAAGTTGATGCAGGAGTAGGTTTCAAAAATAGTTAAACAATGAGAACAACTAGAAAAAATAAAATATCAAAAGATATGAGTTAAAAGGAATTAAAAAACTAAAGTTGAGAAAGAACAAGAGTCAAAGATTTGATACATTATTTTTTAAAAAAAATTGATTGTATTATGATAATAGTCATGTACTAAAAGAGCAGAAAATTCGTTTATTAACGCAATGGGTTTTTAAAAAGATAAATAGAGATTCAGCAAATTTTGTGAAGCCACCATTATTTTCTTTAAGTGAAATATAAAATATATATTAGGGTGGTCCCTAACAAGGACATTTTCGAATTTTTTTGCTCCCAAGGGCGCAATTGCTTCCAAATCAATAAAAAATGATTCTCTAATAGTATTAGATCTTTATATAAACATATACATAGAGCGCACAATAATTAAAAGTTTTATGTATTAGTTACTAATATGTGTCATTAAATAAATTTGTGCGCCATCTGTGCGCCACTCAAATATTATGATACATAAGGATATTTATAAACCGCTTAACCATTCATCATAGCATCAAGATTAATTTTGCAGCAAAATATTTATTTAATTGGTGATGTTGAAACTCAAGTTATTATATAAAACTTTTAATTATTGTGCGCTTTATCTAATTGTTGTGTCTAAGCAGGGCTCCATATAAACATTTATTTGACAGCCCCTGGAAAGAGTAATTTTTTTTCCAGTCATAGAGTTAAAATAAATAATTATTTATCATTCATCGTCTTTATAAAATTATCAAGAATATCCAACACTATCCTGGTTAGGATTGTGCAACCATGTATATGACCACATATTTTGAGACACGTTTATTTTTCTGCAATTTTATTTGAATATTTAGAAAAGTTGAATGGTATTGATTATTATGAACATTTTGAAAGTTTTTACTGGCGTTTAGTACCAGCTTCTTTTTAAACATGATACAAACAATAGAAGTGACTAGTTACGGTTGTGACAGTTGTCATAACAGATAAACTATACTGATTTTGAGATAGAATCCAAAGGAAGAAGATGAAGTATGATTGTTTGAACAAGTTTACATTATAACTTTCAGTTAGTGCCATACATTAACATGATCTGTAGATGGCATTGCTTTTAAGGAATTAAAAGTAAGTTTTCATGTACGAATTCTTATATTTTTTTCATTTTACTGCTAGTTAAACATTAGTAGTTATTTACCAGCAAATTAGTCTATCTAGTCGAATCAGTTTTTGCTCAGATAATTTAGCTCACAGTCATAATGATGATTTATTTTCAAAAGTGCGCGTTGAGTATGGTTGTGACAAATTTTGGGGTACAGTTGTGACATATATTTTTTGTCTTTTTCGGGTGAAGGGTAAAAGATAAAAAAAACTAACCTAACTAAGACAAAATACGAAAGAGAAAGGGAAAGTAAAATTCACCAAAATTTTGCTAACTTTGTTCAAAAAATTATGTTTTGGTATATATTGCTATATTATATTCATAAGCTTTGTTTCAATGATTATGCAGTGTTGCATTAAACATTATTCTTATTAACGACAATAAAAGTAGTTATAAATCATTTTGGTATTCATAGCTATAGCTTTTAACCTATGTTTATGCCTGTCACAACCGTCCTCGGGTGTGGAAGGTTTTGACACTTGCCATTTTCTTGTATGATTTAATTTCATGACTAATCCATCTTACTTAAGGACAGTGTGTTAGAATTTACCTGTAGAAAAATGTCCAAATTACCATTTAATTTACTTTTCTCTCAGCTAACGCGTAAATTTTCAAAATTATTGCTGATAAAAAAGTGGCACAACCGTATCCAGTCTCTTCTACTTTTTGAAAACCAGGAATTAAATATTTAGATTTGGAACAAATATTGCTTTTAGCAAAACTCGGGACACAAGGTGCAAATCAGTAATCAAAATAAGTAATATTTGATATTATAATTTTCAAGGACATAGTAATTAAAATAAATCAAACCTTATTGTGATAATCATCTAACTTGCTAATAAATACACTACTCAAAGTATCACTAAAAAAATTCGCAATAAAGTTAGTATACAAACAGAACGAAATCATATTTTTCTGTAATATTATTATTAAAAAATCATAAGCACTTCACATTAATTGTGATTTCAGTTAGTTAATTAATTTGAATTTTGTGTATTCAGAACTATATACACGAATTCAACACAATTTTTTGTGAAGATTGGTCGTAGCGTATACACTGCAATTTTGTTTAAAAATATTTTATTTTATTTAATTAATTATTTAAATGCAACACGTATGTATAAACAAGCACTATAAATTTAAATATATCAATACATTAATTATCACTGATATTATTACTATTGATTGCAGTATTAAAATATTATTATTATTATTATTGTTTAATTATGATTATTATAATATTATTTACTCACCTTGAAATGAAATTGCAGCTAAAACTAAAACTATTCCTAAATACTCCATTTTACCGGCACTTAGTTTTTGAAAGAATGAGCTCCTGCGTTGGTCCGCCCTCGTTTATATTCGGCGATAATCATATTTATCAAAAAACAACGTATATACATATCACCTGAAGTTTATGTAGAAATTTGATAAAATTGTTTAATGATTAACTTTTCAATTATCATCAGCAATTTTTATAAATGATAAACAATATCCAAAAATCTGTTATGCCATACATCGTGTACACTTTATTTTGTAAAATACAAAGATGCACGAAATATTACACATGCATTTACATATATATATATACATATATATATATATATATATATATATATATATATATATATATATATACATTATTACTCCAAAATAATTATAAATTAGTGCAAAATGTTTCGATAATAATCTTATCTACAGCCCGAAATATTATCGAATAATTTGAGACAAATAGATTATAACAAACGACTAATATATTTGAAGATTTTAATCGTTAATTGATTTAAAATTACAATTTTAACTGTATTTCCGTATAGTACTGGTTTATTTAAAAGTTTTTTTTCATAGTGTGTTTAATTTAACTGTTCATACTCACACCACACAATCTCTCAACTTTTGGGCGGAAAAAGTCTAAATTAGTCTGCGTTCTAGATTTTGGTTGATTTTTTTCTAAATTTGTAAAAAATATAGTCCGGTCAATTTACGCATTCAAGGTTACAATAATTCATAATGCACTGTAACTTGGTAAAATTACTTAATATATAATTGTAAAAGAAATATCAAAAGTCCTCATCGTTCCGGTGCGAGCTAAAAAATTGGCACAAGGTCAATGGTCAAAAAATGACCTTTTTGCGATTTTTAGCTAAATGGTCGGTTTTGTTGAAAAATTACCTGAGGCAAAATTGTGAAGCATAAAATTATCGACAAAAATGCATCAATATTTTTTTTGCCCACCGTTTAATACCTAAGATATCATTGGGTTGTTCGGAAAGTAACTTCGTTTTTTATAGACATTTTGGCACGTAATTTTCGTACAATAAACAATTACTTTAATAAATTATGTATTGGCAGTTTTGATCGAACATCTTTTGCCATACTTCTGGTATTAGAATAATTACGAAATCATCAATGTTTTGGTCGTTATTGGCAAAAAACTGATCAAAGTGCTTTTTGACAGGCTGATTTGAGGTAAAGGTTTTACCGCCTAAAAATTTTTTTTAGTGGCCGGAACAAATAATAGTCCGATGGTGGTAGGTCTGGAGAATATGATAAGGGTGTCATGGGGTCTCATTCAAGCTACAAAAGCTTTTGGCGATTGACCAAACTCATGTGATGTCTAGTGTCGTCTTGATGCAGGACTATACCTTGTTGTGGGTTAATTCTGGTCTTTTTTAATGAAGTATATCATTTAGTTTATTCAGCTGATAACATATGGCGTCCAAATTAACCGTTATGTTATCCTGGAAAAGCTGAAAAATTAACAACTCCTTTATAATCTTACCAAACATACTGCATCACCTTTTTCTGGCAAATTTCAGCTTTGCTTCTGTTTGAAGCAGGTTTTTCTTTTTTGTTTCATGGAAAATTGCGTGTAGGGTAGGGCGGGGCTAGTTGAGCAATTTTTTTCCTTAAACGGATGTAGCTCATCAATGAAAAGTCTAAATAAATTGCTATACGGCTTAATGGATTTGCTGTTTATCGCTTAACAAAAGTGTTAATACTATTTTTGGTAATAAGTAAAATTTAAAAGCTACAGCTGTTTAAATGCAAAAAGTAAAGTATGCTCAATGTACCCCATAGGTGGGGCAAGTTGAGCACTAAGAAAGTATAATGAAATAATAGGTTCAATGTCGATTAGTGATGAAATAAAATGAGTTTTTAATAACCAGTTCTATATTCATAGTCTTTATTGACACTTATAGTAATTTGCTTTGAATAATTAACGCAAAGTAGAATCAACAAAACAATATCGTATCTTTGGAATTATTTTACCATTATATTCAGTATTTTTGTTTAAAATCATTATTTCTTTTATTATTACTCATAAACTTAGATTAAATATTAAAAATAATAATTAATTTCTGGAAGTTAATGGTAATTGTCTTAGTGACAGAACAAGTTTAGCAACAATGCTCAACTAACCCCAACTCGGAATTTCAAAATAAAAGTGAGTTTATAAAAAAACCGTGAGAATTATACCCAGAATCTCTGTGCATATTAAAAGTACTATAATTATATGGAAGAATAACATTTACCTGATTAAAAATAAATAACATTTGACTAAACCAGACGAAAACTCGCGATGAATTACTTTTTTACTTTTTGGTCTCAAAATAAACAAAACGGCCGTGAGCCTCACTCATTTGTCCAGCGGCCAATAGCGATCGCGGGATGTTTATTTCTCCCAAACCTCTATCTTTTCTCTATGTAATGCCTAAACGGACGGTGAATAGTTTTCGAGATATTTTGATGCCCCTATGCTCAACTATCCCCGCTCTACCCTATCAAATCCCATTTGATATTCCTAGTGACAATTCGCTTCAATTTAACAGTTTGTTCAAGACTAATAATTTTCAAGACTTTTCAGAGGCGAATCGCGGACGCCAGTGCGACGACACACATTTTTTTATGAGAACCATGCATTGAGCTTCGAGGAAAATCCCAGACCTTTTGAATGGTCATGAACTGTTAAATTTGATAAATTTATACTCAATAGGATCTCATGTATTGTTATTCGCCGGTTTGCATCCACTAATGTCTTTCTCGCCTCTTTATCAGCTTCAACAGTACTTTTTGGACTTGGTGCATCTCGGACATCAAAATACCAGGAATGAAATTTAGCAAACCAATTTTGGCACTGTCGTACTATCAACACGTCATTGCAGTACACATCGATCAATTTCATTTTGACTTAAACGGTTCTTTTACCTTTTTATAGCGTATAAAAGAGTAAAATTTGTCAAAAATGCTGCTTACTTCTGTTTCTATTCAAAGTGGCACCATTCAAAAACTACCGCATGTAATTGATTAGGATTTTTCACACACAAGCCTTAAAATATAAGTTTTCGAATCATGTTAGGTTCAAAACAATATAGTTAATTACTGGTGGTAAAAACACGAAGTGACTTTCCTTTGAAAAGTACGTTTAAACGCCACCTAAAAGATAGTTTGCTTATCTCGTTTTTACGTGGTTTTCCCAGTAGGCCTATTTCACGGATGTGTTGTGATTTTGTTGGTTTAGGAACTATTACAAAATTTTGAGTTGGTAAAAATAAAGGCGGTAATTATAAAAAAGTATCTAAATTTATTCGTCGGATTCATAAGTTCTGAGGTTTTGAGAAAAATAAGTATTGATGCAATTTTTGTAGATAATTTTGTGTTCTACATTTTTGTCTTAGACAATTTTGCGATAGAACTGACCATTTAAAAATGAGAATGAAAATTGCGCAAAAGTTATTTTTTTGGCCTTTCATCTTGTGCCAGTTTTTTAGCTCGCACCGGAACAATGAGGACTTTTGAGATTTCTTTCATAATTCAAGTTCGAATTGATATCTTTCAATCCATAATATCTGTAATTGTATTGATTTTAATTAATTTATTTAACATATTTCATACTATTTGTGTTCTAAAAATGTATTTTCTTTAAAAACGACGTGAACGATCATCAGAGCAAAATACAGAACGGAATATAGAGAGTGTATCAATGGATGTTTAAAATTGATTTACCTTTCATAGGTCTTGATATTCATGATGTTTGTTTAGACCAGAAACTGTATCACTGTGAAAAGTTTTAATAAAATCGTCACAAACATTTTATTTAACAATTAATTATGGGGAAACGACCGATTTGAAAGAAAAACTGATCGGCACGATTCCCAACAAATATTTAACCTTGTATATTTTGTTTATATAAAATATACAAGGCTAAGTAAAACTTAGAGACATTCCGAAGTAGATGATCATTGTTTCTGCTTCCTTTAGAAACCTAAGAAGTGTTCAACTTCATAGTGGTTAAATTTCATTCGAAAAAAGCGCAAACATTAGACGCTTTTGCTAATTTATCAGTTATATAATATATACCTTTTTTTCTATTATAATCATAGTTGCTGTCAAGTATGGAGACTTTTTTTTTTTTTTTTTTATTGATTAATAAACAGCAATCAAAATTACATAAAATTTTATAAGCTATTCTGCTATGGTTTAACAACAAAAATATATAGATGTATATAATAAATGAAACAATAATATAAATAATAATGATAATAATAATGATAACAGTAATAATAATAATAATAATAATAATAATAATAATAATAATAATAATAATGATAATGATAATGATAATAATAATAATAATAATAATAGTAATAATAGTAATAGTAATAATAATAATAATAATAAAATAATAGTATCAGGATCACTCCATTGAGTGACCACTTAAAGATAATAAATCTACTCGAGTAGATCTATGGGCCAGTTTCTTTTAAGTCTTCTCCTTGTTGGCGCATGTAGAAGCGGTTGCAATAGTCTGTTAGGGTGGTTTTCAATTTTTTGGATATGAGTGATGCTTTTGTCCTTGATAACATCTTTAATATAAGGTATGTTCAGATCGTTGTGAATAGTATAGTTCGAAACATACCATGGAGCATTACATATTTCACGAAGAGTCTTGGACTGAATTCTTTGCATCATGACAATGTTAGATTTACTGGCACATCCCCATAGTTCAATGCCATAGGTCCAAATTGGCTTAATAATGGTTTTATATATTAAAACCTTATTATCCAGTGATAGTACAGAGTTTCTTCCTATGAGCCAATATAAGTCTTTAATTTTTAGTTTAATTTGTTGTATTTTAGTTTTTATGTGATGTTTCCATGTCAGTCTTTGATCTAAGTGCATGCCTAAGTATCTAACTGTGTTATTTTGCGGCAGCTGCTCTCCATTCAATGATACAGGTGGGCAGGTTTCTTTCCGTATGGTAAAAGCAATGTGGTGAGATTGTGTGGAATTTATTTTTATTTTCCAGTTATTTGCCCATTCTTCAATTTGATTTAGGTGCTGTTGAAGCTTCAAAGACGCAATGTTTGGATTATCATCAACTGCAAGAACAGCAATGTCATCTGCAAATGTGGCAGTTGTTGTTTGCCACCTGGTCGGAAAATCATATGTGAATAGCAAATAAAGAAATGGACCCAACACGCTTCCCTGTGGTACCCCAGCCTTCATAATTTTTGGTTCTGTGTAATCACTACCTATTTTTATTTGAAACTCCCTATTCTTTAAGTACGATTCAAAAAACTTATAATATAACGGAATTAGTGTTTTAATTTTGTGAAGAAGTCCTTCATGCCATACCTTGTCAAATGCTTGACTTATGTCAAGAAAGGCGGCTGAACAATATTTTTTCATCTCAAAAGTCTTGGTAATTGAATCCACTAGTCTGTGACATTGTTGTATAGTAGAATGTCCTTTTCTGAAACCAAACTGATGATCTGGTAGCAGACTGACTTCTTTGTTTATATCTTCCAGAATAATTTTTTCAAAAATCTTGGACAAAATTGGTAGGAGACTAATAGGCCTATAAGATTGTACTAAATGTAAATCTTTTCCTGGTTTAGGAACCATTATGATAGACGCTAACTTGAAGGTTGAGGGCCAGTAATCCATCCTTAAAATTGCATTAAAGATATATGTAATAAAAATTATACCCTTTCTTGGAAGTTCTTTAAGCATTCTAGGTGTAATTTGATCCGGACCTGGAGATTTCTTTATTTTTGTTCTCTGAATTTCATTGAATATTCTTTTAACTGTAAAGAATTTCGTTTTGTTAGCTGTAAAATCTTGTCCGATGTTTGTGGAAAACTGAGAGCTATGATTTGAAGATGAAATATTCGGTGTGAAAACTGAGCTTAAGTATTCTGCGAATAATATGGATTTTTCTGAGTCACTTCTCGCCCAACAAGTTGAAGAACTGCTTTCCCGAATTGGTGATTTATTCATGATAGGTTTTTTCTTGTTGGCAATAGGCTTCCATACAGAGTTATCAAATCTGTTGAGTTTTTTCAAATAATTGTTGAAGCTATTCTCATTCCATTGTTTAATTTTGACTTTTAATTTATTACTTAATTCATTAAGTATTTTTTTGTCAGTTGGATAATGAGAATTTTGCCATATTCTTCTTGCTTTTCTCTTTGCTGCTATCAATCTTTTTATTTCGAGACTAATACTGGGAATATTATAACTACTATTTTTGTTTGTAGTTGAAAATTTGACCGCATTTTCCATGATTTGTTTGAAATTGACAAGTTCATTGTCAATATCACTTGGAATTCGTAATTTGGCCTTTAAGTTAACTTTTTCTTCAATTATGCTTCTATAAAATTCCCAGTTTGTATTGTTGTTGTGCAACGCTGGAGCTTGATTTGTTGGTATAACTGTCGTATTGATTGATGCAATTATGGGCGAGTGGTCAGATGATAAATCGAAACAATTTTGAACTTCAATATATGATTTGTTAATACCAGAAACTATGAAAAAATCCAAGAGGTCAGGTATTCTTGCTGGATCAGTGGGCCAGTATGTTGGTGTTCCTGTGGAAATAGTTGTATATTTATGTCGTTGTATTAATTTATCTAATTCTTTTCCCTTGGGATTCACTAATCGTGATCCCCAATTTGTATGTTTGCTGTTGAAGTCTCCTCCAACTACAAACCTATTTCCCACAGTTTCGAAGAATTCTTGAAAATGAAAATCTTTCAAGTTATGCCTCGGTGGACAATATACGGCCGAAATCACTAAGTCATATGGTAATAGTTTAACTTTCACTGAAGTTGATTGTAAATACTCCTTGTTGAAATTTTGCAATTCGTAATGTGAAATACTTGTTTTGATAATTATTGCGCTGCCTCCATGTGCGGAACCATCTGGATGTGGTGTGTGATATACATTATAATATGGAATTCTGAGATGAGAATAATTAGTGAAATGTGTTTCACTAATTAATAGTATGTCAATTTTGTTCATTGATAAAAATAATATGATTTCATTTTTGTGAGAATGAAGACCATTTGCATTCCATAAAGCTATTCTCAGTAGTTGTCCCATTATTTCATTTTATTAATTACTGCTGAAAGCATGTTCAAAATCATTCCATTTTGTTGCATGACTTGATCGAACATTTTTTTAAATTCTGATAAGAATTGTGACAGTTGGCCATCCATGTTGGAATGATTGTTTACATTGGCGTGTGACGCTTGCTGACGTAGTGCTTGTGCATAGCTCAAATGGTCGGATGAGTATGCCGGTTTGTTTATGTTTTGATTTTGACTTCTAGGTTTAGTCGGGTTTGCGTTGATACGATTATTAACTGTTGTTTTCATTTTATGATTTTTGTCGATAAGTTCTTGATAGTATGAGCATTGTCGGTAATTTGCGTTGTGCGGTCCTTCACAAAAGTAACATGTACCAGGCGCTTCTTTGGGTTTTTTACACAATTGTGTTGGATGGGGGCCCCCGCATCTAAGACATACAAATGGCCGCTTGCAGTATCGTTTGGAGTGACCATGCAATTGGCATCTTGCGCATTGGATAATGTTTGAATTTTTAAATGGAGCTTCAAAATGCATAACTTGATTTAATAACCTGTTTATTTTGAAAATTGAAGCGTTATTTACGTTTGGTTCGAGATCCACGTAGAACATATTAAGTGGTTGTTTTGTTTTAGGTTGCAAAACATTTAATATATTACGCACTTTATGTATACCTGGTTTTTCAATCGCTGTTTTAATTTCATTTATATCTGTACTATGATGCATGTATTTTAAAACCACTCGATACGATCTTTCTGACTTTATTTGATATGTGTGATATACTGTGTTGCGTTCTTGCAAGTAATGAATAAATTTTCTGTAATTATCGGCACTATCCATTTTAATCTTGACAATTTGGTCCGGCAGGATTTTCGTTGTATATTGACCACTAGTAAACACTGTGTTTAAACTACTAATCATTAATTTAAAATCTCTAACACCATATAGAAATACAGGTGGAGTTACTTTTGTTTTAATTATGTTACTATTTGTTTCCTGATTATTGTTATCTTCGTTAATAAGCGTGTCGAATCTATTCGACGTAGGAGTAGAATTAGTGTTGTTATTTACAAAACGTTTTCTTTTTATACCGTGGACAACCTGCTGCCACGGGTTTGGGTTAATTGGTTCATTTGATTCATTTGGTTCATTTATTTCATTGCTTTGTTTACTCACTTCCATTTGTGAAGTCATTTGAGAACTTGACGTATCCATATTAAATTGTGTTTTTGCAAACTTTTGAAGTTTTTGAATAAATTCTGAATTTGTTTGCGAATCATCAGATAATACTTGTTCCGTTTGAACAAGGGGCGGTATTGAATAATTGCTCCCTTCAGGCGAAGGGAGCATATATAAAATAAATTAAACTTCTATATAACACTAAATGAATTCACTTCACTGATAAAATATATAAATTATAATGTTCACTACTATCGAAAATATATGATTATGTAATGGTTTAGCTCACAAGAGACGATGTGACCTGTTCGGCTGATGCCGATGGAATCATCGGAGACTTTTTAATATGAATAATGAACCATTAATTCAATATAATGAAAGGTATAAAAAATATTATTATTAAAACATCATTTCTATATATTTAATTCGGGGTTCATCGTCTGATATTTCAACCTCAGGCAACCTGATATCATGCAGTTGTGAGATATTGTGAAAACATGGATATTGTAAGTGATCTTTCGGTCATTACTCTTAATAAATATAAAAATCAATATGTTGTTATTGAATAAAATAGCATATAGAATGCAAATAATAATTTAAGTTGCTAAATACTGTAGCGAGGCAAATGCATAAGTATATATATATATATATATATATATATATAACAATAATTTTAATTTAAAATACAGTGTCATCAAATTATTTTATTTATCATTTTCAAACAAACTACTACAGTCTTAATTTAATTACTTCAAAATGAGACTCCTCCTAATTCTAGGTATGTCAATATTGTAATCCAAGATATATATATATATATATATATATATATATATATATATACGGTTTATATCTGCATACATACATTTTTACTGTATTAGTTATGATTTTTGGCAGTTTTATAATTTAAATAAATTTCTTAATTAGATATTTCGCTTCGAATAGGCATTGTTTGATTTGTATAATATTTTCATACGAGAACGTATATTTTAAATTCGGACATTACTATTATATCATAAATAATATTATGTTGATAAAAATTTGTTCATATTTGCGTAATTTGCATAGAATAACTATGTTTTCAAAATATATAATTTATAACATTTAAAATATTTACTATAAAGCATAATGATGTGATTACATTAATTTATATTAAAGTTGTTTATGATATTTTTTAGGTTCTGAACTAATTAAGCATATCGTTTAATTTTTAAAACTATTGAATGCGAACCTTCCGACAAAGTGTAGATATCTGTAATCGTTATCAAAATTGTAAAAATTATGATAATTATTTGTGCTAGATACGTAATACGTAAAATAAATTTTAGAAAAAGCACGGCAATGTTTGTTATCAATTTTTAGAAAGATAAATGAAAAAAATATCTATTTAAATAAGAACATTGTTACTAGAACTGGAACTAAGTATAAAGCAATAAATGGTTTTCTAGTTTCTTGTCCCGAGCGTTGATTGTTGCATCCATTTTTATCGCAAACGTGACATGTGTCGCCTTTCATACATTTCTCGTCTTTTGCGACATCTGACAGACATCCGCGTTTGATTTCTGAAAAATTAATAAAATTTAGTACTTAAGAATATTGAGTTAAATGATATTATGTTTTTTTTAATAAATAATTAAGGAAAATGTGGACAAAATGGTATATATAGGCAAAATGACTCAGTGGCCTTATTCAAAAATTTGCTAGATTTATTCACGTGCGACAGTCTAACAGGAAGAAAACCATAATAACAACCTGTAATATAACCTGTTTGATGTTGAGCGTCTTGCCGTAGTTTATTTTGAGGGAGTTTCATGTTTTTTGGGGAACCTATTTGTTGATATTCGTAATTATTTAAAATTAAAATCAATAACGGATGCTAGTAATAACAATTTCAATCAATTTTATCAGAATTTTATCAAATCAATAATCAGATTTTTGGTGGATATTTGATTAATTATTCAATTTCGGACTAAATGACATACTTACAAAATGGACAAAATGACACAGTACTATTTCGCAAGAAGAAAAATTAAATTTAAACAAAGTTTCTACTATGCAAGAAATAATGCTAAAAACAGACCAAAAGATCCACTAGTAAAAAGAAGAGACTTGCATTTATTGCAAAACTCTTTTTCCATTCTGGGTCCGTTGAAGATTGGTTACGATGTATGATTTGTACCCTTTGGGTTTATGCTTTATGTGCTAATGTCCCAAAGAAGACTAAACGATTTATTTGCAAACTGCTTTCTTAAAAATTAGCATCTCGCTATGTCCTATTTTTCCCGTACTATATGGACAAAATGGACAAAATGGGTTTTGTAATTGGTTGCACTTTTCCTTAATAAATGTGTTATTATAGTTCCTACTTAATTAAGATAGTATCTTTATGGTAGTCAATGAACCAAAGATAAGTAAAAACAATTGAGATTCGTCATCAAATCATTAAAAAAATATGTTCTTACCCTATATTGGTTTATATCAAAGATAAGCAACCCGCGGCCCGCCGGATGTTTTTCTGCGGCCCGCCAAGCATTTCTCAGCAACAGATTATTTTTCTAGATATCTTATCAAATATGGCAGTGAAGGTTAATTTTGTTCAGTCAAATACTGGTAAAAACTATTGTTGGCAAAAATAGCATTTTCCGATTAAATAAATATTACTTTGAATATTAGTTTCACAATCTTCAATACTGCAAGAAAAATTGAGAACTTGTCCAAAAACATATCAACAACGCATTTCCTAATTTAAAATAATTAATTAAGTAAATCTTATGAAGTTGTGAGGGTTAAATCTCCATGAATTTAAAGAATTCCAGAACAGTTTAGAGCGTGAATATGATGTGATTTTCAATACCAAAGTACGTTAGCTCAATAGAGGTGTATGCGACCCAAATTGCAAAATTCAATATTTCTTGGATATAAAGGTATAAACCTTTTCTCATTTTGGCAATAAAAATCGGCGTGCCATTTTGTATGTCTTATCGACATCACACAGCTTTTCAAGGATCTCTATGTGGAACTTCAAGGCAAAGAACATTTTATTTGCAATTTGTATGATAAAATTCAAATACTTTGAGTGCAAATTAAAATTGTGGAAAAAATATCTATTACAGACTCTTGTGTTTCACTTCCCATATTTAGAAAAAGAAAATGTGAACTTTCAATTGTGTTTTCATATGTTCAAATCTAAGAAGGTAGCTGTTTTCATGTAAATGTTTTCTTCGCTATATAACATCGATGTAGGTACACTTCATGAATACCATCACAGGAAGTGATCCGTATACAGAATAATACAGATTTTGAAAAAATCAGTAAATATCCAAAATTTTTATGAATCTCATGTCAGCCATAAGAAATTTCCGCTATAAAAAAACGCAAAGACAATTATGCCATTTCTTAAGTACGTATGTGTACGAACAATTACACAGGTCTACAAAAGAAAAGTCGCTGGAAAACTACATACAACTCCAAATCTTCACTCTTCTATTTTATAATTATCAATGCAATTTATGTTAGTTGTGGTTAGTTGCCCCTTTCATTCATATACCACATATTTATATATTCAAAACTAGTTAGTTATTTTTTATACTAATAATTTTCTAAAAACATTTCATGCAGGATAAACATTTGCCGGGTCAGCTAGTATATATATATATATATATATATATATATATATATATATAAATTACCTGCGACCCGCCATAAAATTTTAAAATTTAAATTGGCCCGTCGGTTAAAAAAGTTGCTTGCTCTTGGTTTATATTGTCACCTGGGTTTAAATTACATGTGTTTAATATTTTTATTATTTACAATTTATATTTATTTACTTTTTTTATTTATATTTTTCAATCTCCTGTTAGTATATATTCTGTTGTATATTACATCATATTAAGAGTTGCTTAAAATATCAATAATTAATTAACTTCCCGTAGGGTAAGTTATTGTAATGGGCCGAAAATCGGAATTGAAAATTTTTACATTTCTCGACGTTTTGAAGGTTTCTGAACATTTTGGCATACCTCAGAAAAAATGGATGTATGTGTGTGTGTGTATGTATGTATGGATACAAATTTCCAGTCACGTTTTCGGGCGCACGGATTAACCGATTTGAATGGTTCAAAAAACATTCGATTCCTATTGATAGGGAAAAGAGCTGATTAGTTTTTGGCAAAGGCAGGTCCAGCCGTTTCGGAGATACGGAGCAAAGAGTGCAGAAAATAGAAATCGACTATTTGAGAGAACGGAGTATCCGATTTGAATGATCTGAAAAACATTCAATTAGTAATGATTGGGAGAAGTGTTTATTAGTTTCTGGCAAAGGCAGGCCCAGCCATTTCGAAGATACGGAGCTAAATATGTAAAAAATGGCAGTTTTTGAGAGAACTAAGCGTTCGATTTAAATGATTCAAAGAACTTTCTGCTGTTTCAACAAAATAATTGATTTTGGAAAAAAAATGTTTCAACTTTTTTTTCTTTTTTTTTTAATTTTTTGTATATCGAAAATAATTCAGATTTTATTTTTTAATTCTGACCATAGATCTAATATACTTTAAACAAATAATTTCAACCTTGCAACTCAGTTTATATATTATAATTCTTATAAATATTAGACAATGTTACAGCATGCATTTATAATAGTCTATTTGAAAACATTTAATATTCCTCGAACATTTCGTTACGGTACGGGAAGTTCCAGCAATTTGCCTTAAGGCACGATGCCATACACCCCACTTTAAAGATCGGTTTTAAGCGATAGCGGATTTAAAGATCGAGTAAAAAAGACAAAAAAATGCTCATTAGTCGTATGCGCATCAATTATCATTTCTATAGAGAATGTATCAATAGGTATAAATTGTTTTTGCATTTATATGGTTTCCGTATCAATGTTTATCCGTTAGTCTGCGACGTGGCGCTTGCGCGCTTTGATATTTCTTCTCTAAAACCGCCACACAGTACAATTGCTTGGAAAAATGTTCCAAATTTTCAAACAATATCAGAAGATACAAAAAATCTAATTTTTCAAAAAGTAATTTTTTTCAAAATTTTCAAAAATCTCATTTTTATGAAATTTTCAACAAAAAAAATAAGGCTTTTAAAATTTTAATTTTTGATACGGAAAGTTACAGTAATTTGCCCTAAGGCACGAATCCATGCAATAGTTGGCAAATAATTGAAAATGACCTAAATACAGAGAATTAGGAATTTTGATTTTTTGGCCAAAACATTTTCTCATTGGGATAGTTAAACCTATTAACACTTTCCACTCGCGAATTCTGAGATTTATATGAATTTTGCCGCAGGAGCGGCGGCATCCTAGTCGAAAGGGTTAAAATACCATTATCATATAAAATAGAAACATATTTTATAGCATTAGCATTACCAGTTTTATGGGAGTAGCAACGGTCGTTGGATCCGTCCGGCATTGGATTTACGCATTTTTCCGCTTGCAAAGTCGAGTTCAACTCGGGGCCGCATCCTGGCACTTTTGCGTCGCACTGGTAGCAAAGCAGCGGCTGCAGCTTCAAGGCGGCCGAGTTGCAGGCATTACCCACGCACGTCACGCAGACCTCGGAGCCATCCATTGCAAAAGCCGCCTCTCGCAAATCGCTGAAAGTGCGGTTCAGATTGCAGTGTTGGGGGTTTGCCAAATCCGAGAGGCAGCCGCGACTAACTGTATTATCTGGAAATAGAGATTTGATATCAAAACTAGCTGTAAGTGGAATTCTGTCTTAAGGCAATTAAGGCAAATTGCTGGAACTTCCCGTACCAAAAATTATTATTTTTTGAAAAACGATTAACATTTTTGAAAAAAATTTACTTCGAAAAAATAAGATTTTTGACAAACAATTAGACAAAAAATTACTTTTTTTTGAAAAAAAATTTTTTTTAATTTTTTATTTTTATTTTTTTTTTATTTATTTTTTTTTTGAAAAAAAAATGCTTTCTTTATTTTGACATATTTTGAAAGATCTAAACTTTTTTTCAAAGCAATCGTACTGCTTTAACTGCATAAAGACGAAATATCAAACCGCGTAAGCGCCGCGTCGACGTCTAACGCGTAAACATTGGTACGGAACCCATAGGAATGTAAACCGAAATTATACTTATTGTTAAAATCTCTATAAAATATCTGATAAATTGATGTGCATATGTCTAATGATCATTTTTGACCGCCAAATGGCATTTTTCTTTACTTTTTTCATTAGATCTCCGAAACCGCTAGACCTGCCTTTATGAAAATTTGATCGGTTCTTCACCTTGTCAATACAAGTAAAATGTTTTTTGAATTATTAAAATCGGACGCTCCGTTCTCTTAAAAACTGAGTTACCGTTTTCGGCACTTTTTGCCCCGTATCTTCGGACCGGCTAGACCTGACTTCGCCAAAAACTAATCAGCACGTCTCCCTATCAATACAAATCGAATGTTTTTTGAATTAATAAAATCGGTTGATCGGTGTTCCCGAAATCGTCGACGAAAATTTGTATCCGCACATACATACACACACGCATACACACACGCACACACACACACACACATCCATTTTTTCTAAGGTATGCCAAAATATTCAGAAACCTTTGAATCGTCGAAAAATGCAAAAATTTTCATTTTCGATTTTTTTGCGATTACTATAACTTGCCCTACGGGAAGTTAATCAATATGTTATGGGAACCATTTATTTAATTTTTATTCATTGCAATTCTACAAATAGTCAATCAGAAATTATTGACTTTACGTAGGTTAAGTTACGTAAATGTGTATATATTTTTACGTTTCAAAGATTTCTAAACATTTTGGCATATCTTAGAATGTATGTACGTGTGTATTTATGTAGGTGTGTGTATGTATGTATGTATGTACGAGCGGATATAATATTTCGTCGACGATTTTGAAATGGAATTGAATGATTCAAAGAACATTCGATTTCTATTGATGGGAAGACGTGCGGATTAGTTTTATAAATGCAAGTCCAGCCGTTCAGAAATACCAGGCGAAAGTGCAAAAAAATCAGGTGTTGAAAAAACGAAGCGTACGATTTGATTGATTCAAAAAACATTTCACTTGTATTGCAGAATTAATTATTTTTTCAGAAAAAAATGGTTTAGCGTTTTGGAAGATGCAAAAAAAAAAGTTGTAAAAAATGTCATTTGGTGGTCAAAAATGATTATTAGGCATTTGTAAAAAAAATTATAAGATATTTTAATAAGCACAAAAATTGGTTTCGCTTCTTAGATTTTAGATTTATGTATAAAGTTCACTTATATAGTCCAAACAAACATCCTCGACATTAGGGTTTGTCGGTTTTCAAAAACCGGTTTTAAAAACCGGTTTTTTGGCAAAAATTATGGAATTCGAAAACCGGTTTTTTAGTGAAAAAAGTCGGTTTTCACTGTATAAATGGAAAACGACAAATATAGCCAAATATAAAAGATAGATGAAAGCGTTTTGATTCTTGAAATCATATCGGTTCAATAGCATTTGATATCTTATCAGTCTGCAATGGTCTGAAAGGTTTTATATATATTAATTTAGATTTTTATACCAGTGTATATTAATTTAAATCAGTGTGACTTCTTCTTAAAGAAGTAACTTCCTCTACTCAAACTTAAAAAAAAGAGTTTTAAACCCTAGAAGCCACAAATTAAAGAACAAAAAATTTAGAATTATTATATCAGGCTTTCAAAACAATTAAGTTTAATTCGGCCGCAAGTATGAAAGTATTTTCTATTTCAGGAAATTTTGTGAGTAAACAGAGGACACGGCTAAGTAGCAATTCGATAGACGTTCTTAGTTTTTTGAAATCATATTTTATTAAACAAAAATACAATTAGAATGTTTAAAATTAATTAATTAAAATTGCTCGGAACAGACGATACCCGAGTTTAGCTTAATTGCTTTTAAAATTAAAATTGATATTAACAAGTATGTATCAAAATGTATCTAATTTTTTTATTTTTTTTTAACTTAATATTTTTTTTTATTTAAAAATATATTGTTTATATTTATTTGAAAACTTTCCTTTCACTGTCATAAAAATATTCATTCTTATATGTAAAAATGATGCATAAATAACGAATAATTATTTTCAAAGTTATTTAGTCAAGATAAACTATTATTTTTTAGTTCTAGTAATTAAAATTAAAATAATTTTGTTTACTATCTGTAAAATTTAACAATAAATAAATCCAGTCAAATACTGCTCTAAATTACTCTAAATGTGCGGATAAATTACAGAATATTTGAGCAAAAATTTTTCTATATAAAATTCGAAAACCGGACCGGTTTTTTAGTAAAATTAAAATTCGAAAACCGGTTTTCTGAAATGTCGGTTTTTGTATAAACCCTACTCGACATTTTCGATAGTATGGTTCAACCGACTTCGATCCGAATGGGTTTTAAAATTTTGAAAAAAGTCTATTTTTAACTTCCCGTAGGGTAGTTAGAGTAACCGCAAAAAAATCGAAAATAAATTTTTTTATATATCTTTACGTTTGAGAGGTTTCTGAATATTTTGGCATATCTTAGAAAAAATGGATGTATGTGTGTGCGGATACAAATTTTCGTCGACGATTTCGGGAACACGGATGAAGCGATTTGAAAAATTAAAAAAACATTCGATTCGTACTGAAAAGGAGACGTGCTGATTAGTTTTTGGCGAAGGCAGGTCTAGTCCTTTCGAAGATATGGGGCAAAAAGTGCCAAAAACGGTAACTCAGTTTTTAAGAGAACGGAGCGTCCGATTTGAATAATTCAAAAAACATTTTACTTGTATTAAGATGAAGAACTGATCAAATTTTTATGAAGGCAGGTCTAGCGGTTTCGGAGATCTAGTGAAAAAAGTAAAAAAAATGCCATCTGGCGGTCAGAAATGATCATTAGACATATGCACATCAAATTATCAGGTATTTTATAGACATTTTAACAATAAGTATAAATTTTGTTTAGATTCCTATGGGTTCCGTACCAATGCTTATCCGTTAGTCGGCGGCGCGGCGATTATGCGCTTCGATATTTCGTCTCTATGCAGTTAATGCTGTACGATTGCTTTGAAAAAAAGTTCAGATTTTCCAAAATATTTCAAAATACACTTTTCTTCAAAAAGTATTTTTTTCAAAAAAAAAGTAAATTTTTGTCAAATATTTATAGTTTCTCAAAAATCTAATTTTTTAGAGTAATTTTTTTTCAAAAATGTAAATCTTTTTTAAAAAAAAAATTTTGGTACGGGAAGTTCCAGCAATTTGCCTTAAGTCACGATGCCATGCGCCCAACTAGTTTTGAAATTATTTCACAATTTTAAAAAAAATACAAGAAATTTAGATCTTCTCACAAATCAGTACGGTACAGGAAGCTTCATTAATTTTTCTTAAGAAACTACTGGTTTAATTACAATTCTGGGCGTTTTCATTAACATTTCTATCAATCGTGAATTGTGTCTAGGACGACACGAGGATTATATCGAATCATTATATCGATCGATATAAAATAGTTTTTATTGTTCATAGAATATAATTAGGTTATATAACTTGCTATATGCTAAAACACTCATAAATAATTATGAAAAAAAATTCACCCCTACGTATATAGTTGAATAATGAATTTGCGTTGCTCCTCATATCATTCAGAATGGAACTTTTCAGTAGCCCTTGCATATTCTTAATTTCATTATTGCTCAATTTGAAAAGAATGCATACATTTTTTAAACTGTCGTTTAGATTATATTTTCAGAATGTAAAGCATTAGGAATAATATAATACATGAGAATTGATATAATACATATCATTCTCATTGTGATATCATATATTTGCGATAGAGATACTAGATAATATATATTTATCTTGAAATATTTTTTTGATACATTTTTTTGCTTTCGCGTGTAATTTTTGTTGTTTTGAGCTTATTATGTAAAAGGCTTGAACTTTGTTTTGTAGAATATAAATGAGTAAGCTCGAGGCCAAATATGACAATAAGTAAACAATTTCACCATAAGTTTGAATCACTTTTTAATAGTTGCATCTTTCTTTTTTTTAATTTTTAAAATTTTTTTTAAAAATATCAGACTTTCACAAAAATTTCAAATTTATCAAAACCGCAAAAATAATTATTTATAGACTAGAATGTTCAAATCAAAACATATTGCACTAATATTAAATTATAATTGAAGCAACCTTAAAAGAATTAAATATTCCTACTCACGGCTGACTTGGGTGTAGCATTTATCGTCTTTAGTATATTTTTCACAATACGTTGCTTGATCCGGGTTTCTCTGACTGAGACATTGGGATCCTTCACATTTGTGACATTTCAGCCAAGTTGTAGGTGCAAAATTCGAATTGCAATCCGCAGTGTCGCACGTTGCACATTCGTCTTCGCCCGCACACTTTTCTTCTTTAGCGGCACACCGGTGTTCCATCTTACCACCTGTAAGATAATATAAGCCGTTTTAAATTCGGCCTAACTCAGTTTTTCATTTTTTTTGGATTATTACAGCTACATATAATATTATGTGTACATCTTTATGTTAAATATCTCTAAAGCATTTCAGGTGGCTTACAATCCGAGCAAATATGATAATTCTGGACGCATAAGTTTTCAGAGTTAGTTTAATAATCGAATCGTGTAGTTTGAATGTAGCCTAATTCTATTTTTATATAAACAATCTTATTTTGATTAGCTAATTAGCTAATATAATATTTATTATTGAAAATGTCGGAAAGTATTGATGAAGGTAATTTTAATTAATTAGTTGAATAACGCTTACGTTTATCTATTATATAAAAATAAGTCGAGTTTTCCTTCCTGACGATATAATCTATTATATAAAAATAAGTCGGTTTTTTCTTTCTGACGATATAACTCCAGAACGCACGAACCGATTTCGACGATTTTACTCATTGTTCTCTGCTTAGTTAATTTTATGTGACAAACCGGCATTGTGTTCACTGTGAAATTGTGCAAAAATAGTAAAAAAAAGTTATTCGTTTCCTAGCATTTCAATTGAAAACCATCAAATCAATCACGTGTATTGTGCAATTTTTTATTCAATTTCAACAGCAGACAATTTTTTTCTTCATCTTTTAATCACCAAACGAAATGTTACAAAACATGAAACCATCTGGTGGTGAAACGCAGTTCGCCCGGTTTGCTAGTTTAATATAAAACTTAAAATTGAATATTAAATTTTATAAAGTACAGGACTACTTATACTACTATTTAGTTTATGTATTAGCAATCAATAATTTAAAAAAATATCGAAAAAAAAGAATTATAGAACAAAACTCAATTTTAAGGGTTGAAGATATAAATTATAATAAAGAAAAAAATGCTGAATACATCCAAAAAGTACAAAAAAGTACGAAAAATTAAACGGAATTATTTAAAATTCAGATTCCTTCTACTCACACAAAATGTAGATGAGTGTTAAATTGGTTTATAATGTTTGTAATTTTGCACATTATGTGATTGATTGAATCGCATAAATTATGTCCCAAAGTGTTTTAAAGATATGTAAAATGAATTCAGTAGGAGATACTGGGTACCGTTGTGCCTGGTTACGGTAGTGACAGTTGTCATAACAGCTAAACTATACTGATTTTGAGATAGGCTCCAAAGAGAGAAAGATGAAGTATGATTGTTCGAACAAGTTTCCATAATTGTTTATAGTCACTGCCTTATATTAACATGATCTGTACACCGCATTGCTTTTAAAGAGTCAAAAGTAAGTTCTATTGTTCGATTTATTTTAATAATAATTGCTACAGATAGATTATTTTGCTTGTTATTTTGCTGTAAGTTAAACATTAGTAGTTAATTACTAGCAATTAACTTTTGCGTAGATAATTTAGCTCCGTCATAACAATGATTTGTTTTCAAAAGTGTGCGTTGGGTACGGTTGTGACATATGGCTGACCTTTTCGGTTAAAGATTAAACAAATAAAGGAAAATTTAACTTAGCTAACAATAAGACAAAATAAGAAAGAGAGAGAAAAGGAAAAATTTAATACAAGGAAAAAGTTATATATTGTTATATTATATTTATAAGCTTTCTCTAAACGATTATGTTGTTTTACATATTTTAAATACATAATGACAAAAGTCATCAAAAATTTTTTTCAGGTTTGTAGCTATTACTTCTCAACCTATTATTATGCCTGTCACAACCGTCCTGGGGTAGTGGCCGGATTTTATGACTAATCCATGTCCGTTTTTAAGGATCATATTTCAGTATTTCACGTTGACAATTGTCAAAATTACCATTTAATTTACTTCTCTCTCAGCTAATTAGTATTTTAACAAAAATATAGCTGATCAAAAAAAAAGTGCACAACCGTACCCAGTCTTCCCTATTTAGTTTTGCGAAACAAAATATTGTTTCAAGTGACGCAAGGCCTTTGTGTGAAATATATAAAGTGGTGCCAAAGTTAAATTATTATTCGTAATATTATAGTTCACTGAAATTAATATTCAATAAATTTTACCTTTAATTTGTGAGATGCATTTGTCATTATCACACATTGCGGACGTACAATTCTTGGCTATAAGTTCGTTGCATGTTTTGCAAGTGATTTGTTTATTGCATTTATTCCCGTGGCATATTTTACATGAATCAGAGTTTGCATTACAATCGTTACCCTGATCTGATTTGCATCCTCGAGTAATGACACCTGAAAATAAAAAATAGAGCAAAAGATTTACTATATAATTCCTTATAGTAAATTCCCAATATTGAAAATATTGCTTTATTTTGTTTAATTATTTAGTGGATGTAATAATATTACAAAAGAATTTTCTGAATTTTTTATATTATTCTTGTAGTATTACTCTATTCGAGAAACATAATAGAGTCTCTAAAATCATTGTAACGTAAAGAGGAAATATGGGAAAAATGGCATGGCAAAATAATTACAAATAACATGACTGAACTATCTTCAACATAAATGAAAATAAGATATCAAACAAATTAATGCATTAAATATTTCAACAAGTGGTTTTGCACTTATCTATTTAGTTAAGTGAACAAATAATAAATAGAGCAAAAATTAAATAAATTAACAAAAAAATATTAATGGAATTACCCAATTAATTTTTTTAATAAATTAATTAACTAGTTAACTAGCATAAAATGTAAAAATATTGTATGATATACCTTTTTCAATTTTTGAATAGCAGTCGTCCTTTGGATTCATACAAACTTTGGTCTTCGTCTTTCCTGCATCTTTGAAACATTCGTTTCTTAGTTCTGGAAGTTTTTGAACGTTACAACCCGATTTCTCGCAACACATTTTTTCTCGGTTAGTCGAGTCACAACTTTCTTTAACCGTACAACCACGAGCATTCCTATTGTTAACTGAAATTTTTGAAAAATACCAATTAATATCACAAGAAAATTTTCATTTGCCAATAAATTAAATAGAAAATCATTACTGACAAAAATGTGTAACATATACATATATTTAATACAAATTTTCATGCCGCTATTAATTAATTTTGACTCTAGAGCTAGACCCTTTCACTGTGAATTTATATTTTTACACTGAGAATGAGGCAGTCCATAGTTTCGACTTTCATTGATAATGTATATATTCAACCGAAGAATGTTCTGTCCGTTTGTGGAATGTAACAAAATACTTTTTTTTCTTTCGCAAATTAATTGTAATGAACAATATAATTGCCATTTTTATTAATAATATCTTGCTAGCGTGAGGGTAATTTGTATATACCATTTTTTGTGGAATGTTTAATCTTTAGATGCAAAAAAATTAACCAGTCCTCGTTTGGCATATTTTTCCTTTTTGAATTTTCTGTGCATAAAAAATGTTTCTCAGGTCAAAAATATTTGATAATAAAAGCTAATATGTAATCCACTTTTCATTCCCAGTTATCATCAGAATAAAAAGGGCACAGCAAAGATGTGCAAATGGCAACTCGATCATCCAAATTTTTCTGACTTTTTCATGTGGCACAAAACCACAATATGGCCTGAAATGGTTTGTTGAGCTTGATTAAGCGTTTCTACGATCTTCGATGTTGTCGTCATCGATATAAGATGGTCGCCCGGAACAGAAAGGTCGAAATTACCTGTTTTAAATTTTTCGAACCATCTTTTGCATCCTGTCACAAACTGTCCATTCACTTAAAACTTCCAATAAATTTATATGTGTAGCATTTCTTCCTTGTTAAAAATCTTATAAAATGCAGTGCCCTAGATGAACCTTATTAGTTGCCACAGATATGCTATCATTTTAGACTTATACTAATGTAAATAAATTTTTTTATAGTTTATTTTCTATCTCAATATTAAAAACGTAGCAAAAATGATGTCATAATTTTGGACAAAATTTACCGGTAGCTAGTAATATTAATAGTAGTATTATAGTCTAACTATTTGTTCATTAATATTAAAAATCTTCATATCTAAACAAAAACAACTATGACATGCTTCAAATAAAAAATGATATAAAATATCAATATCTATTTAAACTGACATTTAATTATTTTCTAATGTGAATAATTTCTTCCGTGCAGGTCGCCATCAAAGATTGTAGAAAATTGCTGACATTTTATAAATTTTAGTTTACAAACTAAAAAAAATAGGAACTTATATAAATCTTATATATAAAAATGGAGCTCTAAATTGTGTTAAAACTCTAAAAGGACTGAACCGATTTGACCAGTCTTAGTCTTGAAATGTTTGATCTGATCAAGAAATTTTGCAAAAGCCAAAACATTATTTCAAAATGACGTAGAAACTTTACATTTTTAATTTTTTTTGTGGAAGCGTAATTTGAAATGTAACAAAGGCTCATACGTCAAATGTTAAATGGTTTTGCCACCCGGCCGTTCCAAGTTATCCCTCTATGGGATGAAAAGGAACAGATAACAAATTTTTGGAAAACACAAAAAAGCACATTTTACAACGATGAAGTAGCTGGCAGTTTTACTGAATATAGTCATATTGTTTGATATGTGCTTTCTGTTATGATATAATTTATATAACAATATAATTCATATTTGCTTAAAGTCGAGGTCAAATTGTGCCTCCTATATATCATTTTTATTAAATTTACTTTAATTCATGGAATGTTACTTAAAACTTTTTAAATAGAGGGTCAAAGAAGAAATATTTAATTCATTTTATATCTCTCCTTGCATAATTTTGTGTAAGCTTAGTAGTAGTATTTACAAAATCCAGAAGTCAAAAAAAATATGAAAAATTTAAAACGTTATAGATTACACCATGGTTTCCATAGAAAGTGGATAAAACTTCCAGTTTGTTTGTATTAACAAAATAAGGTCAAACGACAATTCTTGATATAAATTATATAATATTAAACAAGTAGACTTTAAGGTTATGTTTACATCATTGTCTATAGCACTGAAACAACACATTCTTACACACTTAAGGGGGTTGTTCTTTTTTCGTTACAAAAAATGCAAGGTATTTGTTTTTATTTTTTCTCGAAATGTATTTATCATAGCGACATGCGGTTTTTTTTAAACAAAAATTACAAGATCATAGAATATTACGTGATTTTCTTCTTTCTTTTTGCGCCGTCATTTTTTAACCAGGGGGCGCCAAAGTCGGTCTTGCAAAATCGATCTCTTTTGCGGTGCCACAGATAAATCCGTTGCGCATCGCCCGAAACAAAAAAAAAAGAAATTACGTTGAAGAAGAAGTTTGTTTCCAGTCCCCCTACCAAAATAAAAGAAAAAAAGCAAGAAGGAAAAAAATGGCAGCTATTTAAAAAAAAAGTGTCAAAAAAGGCCTTTTTTTGGGGCGAGAAGCTTCGCAAATTTTTTTTGCGTAATTTTATCCAGTTGTTTGAGGTAGGGGGACTAGGTATTGCAGTGGTGAACAAATTAAAAAAAAATGCAAGTCGATCCAACTTGTAGTTTTTGTTTAATTTGTGGCACCGCATTGAAAAAAGTCAATTTGAGAAAAACGTATTTAAAATTCTTAATATAATGTACTGAATACACCATTTAATTTAATGTACTAAATACACCATGGTGTTCAAAGATGCTGACACATTAAAAAGGTCATGTGCATGAGGTATTATAATGAAAAAGAGGAATCTGGCATACAATAGCTCGCGGAGCGATAAAAAACGCTTTCAGAGGATCATACATATAGAGATATATATATCTATAACTTCGTCAAAAAAATAGATATTGAGATGATTTTTTTTTGAAATGATTCTAAGGTTTTTATCTTTCATAATATCAAAAAATCTCAAAACCGAAACAAAGAAAAATAAAAAAAGAACAACCCCCTTAAAATAAAATATTTTTTGGATTCTCTGGAAATGGTTTAGAAACACCTTACTTAAAAAAAACAACGTTTGTCAGGACAGCCACTATAAATATATATGTGTGTGTTTGTTATTTTTTGTGTTATTAAATATTTCTTACTGTCGTGACTGACGTAGCATCGATCTTCGTTTATCTTGCAGACTGCCACTTTAGCTGCCAATTCCGCAGCAGTGTTGCTTGTGCAGGTGTCATCATTTTCGTTGCATTTTACACATTTCAGGGGATCATTTTTATTACATAGGTTACTATTGCACTTTAGACAAGACCCAGATGTTGCATTTTCGCATTCTTTTCTAATCGAATCAGCTTCAGGTAAATCGACCAAACAACCTTTTTTTGTTTCAGTGCCTGTAAATATGCAAATATTTATTAGCAACGTTAGGATGGTTTACTTATGCAAAATTTTAGGGTACATTGATGTATAACACTTTTGGTATAATTTGAAAAAATAGATGTGTTTGTTAGATATACCTAACAATACACATCTATTTTTTCAAATTATAACATGGATTATGTAGATATAAAATAGATAAAGACACAATGCCACAAGCGTCTAGTTTCATGAATGATTGCAATTATATATTTATTACCGTTAACATAGATGTAACACAATCCTTCACATTTTTTTTCTCCTCCGTCATCCGTTGCACATGACGGGCGCTCGAAATCCTTATTATTGCATGTAGCACCGACACAAGTTTTGCAAAGAGTATTGCCATCGCAGATATCCTTCGTTGCGCACCCTCGATTAACTTTACCTAAAATTTTTTTTTGCATATTATTATTGAAACAAATAATAACTCTATTACCACTTTACACGTTGAAGCTTTGCTGTATAAATAATATTGCTAAGTTGATAAAATATTTTTATATTCAATTTCTATTATTGTTAGTATATATTTCTTATCCTATTAACGAATTTTTACATACTTTCTTTGTAAAATAGATTTTACACAATTAAATTTCGATTATATTCAACTATAGGATGGACTGGGTACGTTTGTGCCATAAAAGCTAAATTATACTGATTTTGAGATAGGGTTCAAAGCGAGAAAGGTGACATACGAGTATATTTGTTCAAACAAGTATATGTAGACCGTTTTTAAAGAGTAAAATAAAATTCTATGACGATTTTTTTTAATAATAATAGTTTCTTGTATCACATTAATAGTTAATTACCAGCAATTAGTTTTTCCGTAGATAGTTTAGCTCAGTCATAATAATGATTAGAAAGTATGCGTAGGGTATGGCTGTTACATATGGTTACATTTTCTGGTGAAAATTAAACAGATAAAGAGAAATTTAACTTAAACAACACAAAATGCGAAAGACAAAGACAAAGTAAAACTCAATACAAGAAAAAACAGATTTTACTAAAATTGTTTGTTAACTTTGTTTAAAACATTATGTTTTATTATATATTGTTATATTATATTCATAAGCTTTATTCAAAAGATTATGTTGTGTTGTGTTACATATTTCTATCAATAACGTCGTTATAAACCATTTTGGTGCTTATACCTATTGTTTTTCAACTTATTTTTATGCCAGTCACAACCGTCCTTGAGGTGTGGACGGTTGTGACACTCGCCCTTTTCCTGTATAATTCGATTTTATGATTAATCCAACGTATTTAAGGACAGTGGTTTAGTATTTACGCGTAAACAAATGTTTAAATTTAAATAGTAATTTACTTTTCTCCCAATTCATAAATTGACAAAATTGTGGCTGATCAAAAAAGGGGCACAACCGCACTCAGTCTACCCTACTATTCCATTCTATTGATCTTTATATAGTGATTTTTTATTTTTATACATACAATTAATATATATATATATATATATATATATATATATACATATTAATTGTATGTAAATTGCATGTATACAAGTTAAAAAACTATATATAAATGAAAACAAAAAGATCAAAATTCAAACTCGGTTCTTATTTCACGCGAGAAGGGTAGGTTACTACAAAGGCCATACCCGTTTCTGTAAAACCTATAATTTGGATAGTTTCATAGTAATATAAATAAATTTATAAACAACATTTTTGAAACATTTTACCTTTTTCTAGTTTAGCGTAGCATAATTCTCCATTACATATGCTAACAATCTTGCCTTCGAATGTATCGCAGTCATTGCACTCCATGCATACTAAAATCATTAATAAAAAGTTTGTGAAATATAATAAATATGTGTATAAGGATTTCGAACGTTTAAATTATTTAAACTATTTAAATAGAATAATTATAGGTTCGGCTTTATTGAATCTGAAATGTCAAAATAAGAATATTTGTCATATTAAATTTATTTTATTACCTTAAATATTACAATTTAAAGCTTTGAAGGAAAGACATGAGATTATTGAAGAAAGTATATTATTGTTCACAAGTAAATAAGTCCAGATATATACATATGCATAGTTGAATCTAATAATAATTATTAAATAATTTATCAATTCATTTTGCATCTGGAAATTAAAGCCGAACGATAACTACAAATATTAAACACATTTTTTTTCAATTTTGTGTTCTATGGCACTTTTAGCCTTTTCCAAATAAGCGACAGTGGTAGTAGGATTGTATATAGTCAACCCTCCTGAAACGCGGTACTACTCTTATTTATCTTTTACAGTGCGTATATACATACAATTTAATAATAGCTGTGTACATTCACGTACATCATCGGTTTTAGTAATGAAATTGATTTTTTTTGCAAATCAGTTTTTGGCTTAATTTTTATTTCACACCCTTATTATTTTTTATCAAGCCTTCATAAGAACTTCTCAATTCAATAAAAATAATTTATATTTTTAACTTTCCGTAGGTCAAGTTATTGTAATCGTCCAAAAATAGATATTGAAATTTTTTTGCATATTTTTACGTTTTACGGTTTTCTGAATATTTTGGCTTACTTTAAAAAAAAATGATGTATGTGTGTGTGTTTTGTGTGGATAAATTTTTTTGTCTACGTTTTTGAGTGCATGGATCAACCGATTAAAATAATTCAAAAGTCATTCGGTTTCTATTAATAAGGAGACGTGCTGATTATATTTGGCAAAAGCCAACCATCCCTTTAGAAGATACGGAACAAGGAGTGCAGGAAATAAAAATTTAGTTTTGGCAAAGACGAGTCCAGCCGTTTCAGAGATACAGAGCTAAATATGCAAAAAATTGTGTTTTTGAGAGAATGAAGCATCCGATTTGAATAATTTAAACAATATTTTACTTGTATTGACGAAATGAAGAAGTGGCAAAAATTTTGTAAAGACAAGTTGAGCGTCTCCGGAGATCTAGTGAAAAAACTAAAAATAATGCAATTTGGCGGTCAAAAATGATCATTGTCATCAAAAATGACATATGTACATCGTATTATCAAATATTTTATAAAGATTATAAAATAAGTACAAATTTTGAGTACGTTCAATACCAATATTTATACGTTAGACGACTATGCGGCGCTTACGCGCTATGATATTTCGACATTTTCCAAAGTTTTTTCTAATAATTTAGTTTTTGGTACGGAAAGTTCCAGCAATTTTCCTCAAGGCACAATGTGATGCATCACTAGTTAACTTCCCGTAGGGTAAGTTATTGTAATCTGCCGAAAATCGAAATTGAAAATTTTTACATTTCTCGACGTTTTGAAGGTTTCTGAACACTTTGGCATACCTCAGAAAAAAATGATGTGTGTGTATGTAAGTATGTATGGATACAATTTTTCAGTCACGTTTTCGGGCGCACGGATCAACCGATTTGAATAGTTCAAAAATTTCGATTCCTGTTGATAAGGAGATGTGCTGATTAGTTAAGGCGATTAGGTTTCGGAGATACGGAGCAAAGTATGCAGAAAATAGAAATTGAGTTTTTGAGAGATCGGAGCATCAGATTTGAATGATTCAAAACACTTTCAGCTAGTGTTGACAAAACAATTGCTTTTGAAAAAAAATGTCATTCAATTTTTTTTGTATATCGAAAATAATTCATATTTCAATTTTAATTCTGGCTAAAGTTTTAAAGCTCACATATATACTTTAAATGAATATTTTTGACTATGTGATTCAGTCAAGTTCAAAATAATTTTTTTTATATATCTTTACGTTTCAAAGGTTTCTAAATATTTTGGCATACCTTAGAAAAAATGGATGTGTATGTGTGTGTATGTGTATGTGTGTATGTGCGTGTGTGTGTGTGTGTGCGGATTCAAAGTTTTGTCGACGATTTAGGGAACATCGATCATCCGATTTGAATATTTCAAAAAACATTCGATTTGTATTGATAAGGAGACGTGTGCTGATTAGTTTTTGGCGACTGTTTAGCCGTTCTGTAGATACGGAGCAAAAAGTTTCAGAAACGGTAACTCAGTTTTTAAGAGAACGGAGCTTCCGCTTTTAATAATTCAAAAAAGATTTTACTTGTATTGACAAGATGAAGAACTGATTAAATTTTTGGGAAGGCATATCCAGCGATTACGGTCAAAAATGTTTATTGTACATATGTACATTAAATTATCAGATATTTTATAGAGATTTTATCAATATGTACACATTTTGCGTAATTTTTTTTTGATTCCGTACCAAGATTTTTAATCACGGTACGGGAAGTTCCAGCAATTTGCCTTAAGGCACGATGCCATGCACCCCGCTAGTTTCTGTATTCAATCATCTTTAGTTATATAAGTTTTCCAAGTCCCCATTCATCCTGTACGCTCACATTTGTGTGAATGATAACTCACGTATAAAGTCAAAACGTGGCATACCTCAGAAAAAAATGTACAAGCTTTAAAAAATCGTCATAAATGTCACAATACCCATGATTTGAACTTGTAGGACTAGGCATTATTAGAAGTTAATTACCAAGTGTAAAGTGAAAGTCAGTTATCGAAAATATGTGACAAATATATTGAATTTTGACGCATTATAGACAATTTTAAACAAATTGTAGTATAGAGAATTTTTTGTTCATAATCTTTAGTCACTGTTTTACATCTATTTCCATGTTCAAAAATAATTGACGAATTATTTAATAATTTTATAGTTCATTCAAATATAAAAATTTAAATATGTCAATAAATACTAATTAAACCTTTTGCTACAAAAGTGTTTTATGCAGAAGTGACACTGCCATAAGAGTTAGCTAGTCGCCCATGTCGAATTATTAACAATGTAAATCTATTTAAAAATAAAAATTACACTTCTAAAAATCTTAAATCCAGAATGACAACTTAGAAATCTCAATAATTATACTCAGAGTAACAGATATTAAATCCTTTGCAAAAGACAGTTTATATCGCTTATAGGCGACGGTCGCAGGGAGAAGGTTAAATTGAAAATACGCCTAAAATTATAAATTTGTTTGTAATTAATTTGACTTTTCTCGTATAAATATATTTTTAACTTATTTAATTTATATTTAATTAAGTTCTAGTAAAACATAGAAATTTAAAAAAAATCAAAAATATTTTCATTATGTTCAATAGATAAATTGTTTAATTTGAAATTATCTGAACCAATTACAGCGGTTAAAAACATTCAATTTGTGTTTATTTTCTATTTGTCTCATTTGAGATTTTAACGTTTGCTGCAAATTATCCTATTTTACATAAAAATTTATTTTTTTATGGAAAATCTATATAAATATCAATGTTAACAAACAAATATAAATATCAGTGTTATTTAAATAATACGGAAAGATTAAGCAATTCAGAATGTCGCACACAAATAGTTTTGTTTTAAAATTAATTAAAAAAATATTAATTCTCAGAGTCATATTTATCAAGCAATTTTCTTATTGTATTTTATCGGATATTCATCTATCCGAGAAAATTTTAATTGCCATAATTTTCTTCAGTTTTCATTTATTCTAATTGCGTCGTAATATCATAGAAATGTTCTATGTGTTATCATTATATTATTTAATTTGCACTATAAAATTATTATAGTGACTATGCTATCAGATAGGCATTTTAAAAATCGATTTATCTGTTTGTGCAATTCAATGATATCAGAAATTTGTTAGATAAACATTCAATATGGTGCAAGTCTAGTTAGTTCCATGCACATGGTAAAACTTTTTTGTCACATTTTTAATATGCAGTATGGAAAGAAATACTTTCATGAAATAATTACATATAGCATGATATAAATGTAAAATTCTATTAACATTGCTGCGATCTCTTATACCAAATATTTGTAAAACTGAGATACAGTATGTACAAATTATATCTAATAATAATAAATAATTTAAAAAAATACACATGATTGAGCTGAAATTCGCTTGAAATTACTTGCATCTATTTTTTCTATTAATATTTCGTAAAATAAATTATTGAAATAGAACATCTGAACATATTTTGGAAATGTATGTTCGATTGGATTCTCTAGTTTTTTTTTCTTAGACGATCTCTATCATTTAAACATGGTTTGTTTGACCAATTAGCAAAATTCACTGATTTACCATAAACGCGTTTCTTTTCTTTTCAATAAAAAAGACCAGAATATATAAATTTTATGGTCCACATTGATATCTCACATATACTACACATCAAATTTACAGTTTTTATATATTTTAAAATATTTAATAAAATGTTATTATTTACTCATTATATAGTTTTGCACTAATATTCGGGGATATTCCAAATTCTTTTCTATTGTTCCTAAACATTCTAACTTTACATTTGAACTTGTTTGGAGATTTGAGCAAAGTATTATGGCATACTTCCTAATTTAGGGTTTTGTGCTAATAATATGAAAAGTTAATAACTTAAGATTGACTATAAATTAATTATTCAAACTTTTGTCATAAAATAATTCCTGTCAATTAGCTGTTTTTCACAACTTATTCACCACTAGTTTTAAAGCGCATCGAAATTTAGAACAATACGACCATAGCGTTTTTTGTACAATAGTTGATCACTTTTTACAAACAAGATTATCCTGATTTTTTCAATATCACACTTTTAATATCAATTCATCATGATTACCATGAAATAATTGATCATCTTACCTTCGGCATGCACTACTTTTGCAAGAAAAAGGCACAAAGTTAAACAGAAAGGAACTGTTTTTTTCATTTTTATTGCAATTATATTATAGATCACAATATCACGATATAATGATACTACTTTGTTCTAATTGCGTCAAGAATTCTGTTATATATACTTAAGATAAGGTAGGAAAAATTCGCTTGAATAAATAAAGAGAGGATGACACGCCGATATAAATGGTGCTTGAAGACTTAGTCATGAACAACTGAGTTTGTTTGCTAAAGGATATCTCATTATATGCACATGCCATAAATTCAAATGCGACCAGGTGTGGATTTTATTGAAATAAGGTATTTATTCAATTAAAATTACTTATTAGCTTTAAAATAACTTCATTTTGAAGTTTGAATGGCGCATCAATAATGAAAAGAACTAAATTAGTTTGTTGATTAATTTCATTTAATACCGATAAGTAATGTAATTACGGATATATACTCGTATATATATATATATATATATATATATATATATATTTCTTAACAAATGACCATTTCAGATTTGATTTAAATCAGTAAGATATTGTTTATCACGAGAAATTATATTATCGAATTATTCTGGCATATTCTACAGAAATTTGATATGAAATATTATATATATTTATTATCTAAAACTAGCTTTTTGCTTAAAATTTGTTATATTTGATATATAATTACGATTAAACTGAAATATAATTATTGCTTTATGTACAATTTTTAATAGCTAATATAAAATAAATCTAACTTTTAATGTTTGCAATCAAAATATTCTAAGCGGTAGTTTTCAATCCTGTTAATTTTCATAATATAATATATAAGGAAACTAGTTAATGCTTTAATAGTGCTCTAAGGCAAATTGCTAGAACTTTCCTTATCGTAACGAAATATTTGAGGAATATTAAATATTTTTTAACAAAATATTGTAAATTCTGTAATATCTTCTAAAGAATTATTTAAACTGAATTAGAAAGTTCAAAAAATTATTCACTTAAAGTATATAAGTGAGCTTTAGAACTTTAACCAGAATTAAAATTGAAATTTCAATTATTTTCGATATTAAAAAAAATGAATTGGAAATTTTTTTTTTTCATAAAGCAATTATTTCATCGACACAAGCAGAGAGATTTTTGAACCATTTTTGTATATATAGCTGTGCATCTTCTGAATGCCTGGACCTGCCTTTGCCAAAAACTAATCATCACTTCTCCCAATCATTATAAATTGCATGCTTTTTTGATGATCAAAAGCTCGATTTTTATTTTTTGCACTTTTTGCTCTTTATCTCCGTAACGGTTGGACCTGCCTTTGCCAAATCTAATCAGCACATTTCGCTATCAATAGGAATGGAATGTTTTTTGAACCCTTCAAATCGGTTGTTCCGTGCGCCCGAAAATGTGAATGAAAAAATGACACACATCAATTTTTTGAGGTATGCCAAAATGTTCAGAAACCTTTAAAACGTGGAGAAATGCAAAAATTTTCATTTTTGATTTTCGGACCATTACTATAACTTTCCTACGGGAAGTTAATAAAATTGTATTTAAATAAGACTAAATCAAGAAATGGGTCAGCGGTGGCGATATCGGTTAGAGCGTGGGCTAGCATCAACTAGTTCCGGGTTCACTGGTTCGATTCCAATACCGCTGTAGCCCTACATCAGGCAGCTTTCATGTCAAATTTCCACTTGCGGTTATAGATCAATAGACAATATAATTCAAAGTGGAAATCGTCCTTCGTAGACATAGCTGCAGCATCCAATCCTATGTTAACTATTAGACGTAAGAGCCTAATATCAAATATATACCACACATAAGAGAATGGTAAATCGATGGATTGCCTTTCATGAAATACATAGGTAGTCACAAGTCCTTAACAAACAGCTTATAGAACATATAAGAGTTCTGATTGCTACTCAATAAAAAATAAATAACTAGTGGGGCGTATGGCATCGTGCCTTAAGGCAAATTGCTGGAACTTCCCGTACCGTAACGAAATGTTCGAGAAATATTGAATGTTATCAAATAGATTATTATAAATATTGTAACATTGTCGAATATTTATAAGAATTATATAAACTGAATTGCAAAGTTAAACATATTTGTTTAAAGTACATTAGAAATTTAGTCAGAATTACGATTTAAATCTGAATTATTTTCGATATACAAAAAAAAATTGAAAAAAAATTGAAAAAAAAAATTTGAAACAAAAATTTTTTTTTTCCAAAATCAATTATTTTGTTAAAACAAGCAGAAAGTTCTTTGAATCATTCAAATCGGACGCTTAGTTCTCTCAAAAACTGCCATTTTTTGCACATTTAGCTCTGTATCTCCGAAATGATGAGGCCTGCCTTTGCCAAAAACTAATAACCACTTCTCCCAATCATTACTAATTGAATGTTTTTTAGATCATTCAAATCGGACGCTCCGTTCGATTTCTATTTTCTGCACTCTTTGCTCCGTATCTCCGAAACGGTTGTACCTGCCTTTGCCAAAAACTAATCAGCTCTTTTCCTTATCAATAGAAATCGAATGCTTTTTGAACCATTCAAATCGGTTGATCCGTGCGCCCGGAAACGTGACTGGAAATTTGTATCCATACATACATACACACACACACACATACACACACACACACACATCCATTTTTTCTGAGGTATGACATTTTGTTCAGAAACCTTCAAAACGTCGAGAAATGTGAAAATTTTCAATTTCGATTTTCGGCCCATTACAATAACTTACCCTACGGGAAGTTAAAAAATAGAAAGAAATGTGTTTTTGCGAATTTTTGTGAAGATTTATTGTTATTACTATAAACAGGGATATAATAATTGAACTAGTTGTGCGTGGCATCGTGCCTTAAGGCAAATTTCTAAAACTGAATAATATAAATGAAATATATTATATAAATATTAAATGCTTTCTTTATTCGTATTTCATATGACAAAATATGAGAGCGTATAAATTGGACAATGACTTTCATATATCTTAACATGAAAAGTAAATAAATAAAACTTGGTCAAGCGATGTTAGAATAAAGAAGGTTATATCATATTTCTAATTGTAAGAATTATATAAACTGAATAGCAAAATTAAAATTATTTATTTGAAGTATATAATTGAGTTTTACAATTTTAAATTTTAGAATTAAAGTTAAAATTAGAATCATATTCGATATTCAGAGAAATATATTTTGGAAATTCAAGAAAAAAAAAAATTTTTGCTTTCCCCAAAAACTAATCGTTTCTTCACAAGCAAAATGTTTTTTTAATCATTCAAATCAAATGCTTTTTTTCTCAAAACCGTCATTTTTGCACTTTTAGCTCTTTATCTCTGAAACGACTGTGTCTGTCTTACCCAAAAGCTAATCACCATTTCTCCGCATCATTACGAACTGAATATTCTTGAATCATTCAAATCGGATGCCCTGATTGCTCGCAAAAATTTAATTTTCATTTTCTGCACTCTTTGCTTTGTATATCGGAAACGGCTGGTCCCACCTTTCCCAAAAACTCTCAGCACGTCCCCCTATCAATAGAAATCAAGTGTTGTTTTCATCGACGAAAAATTGTATACCCACATCCATACATACATACTCATACGCACACACAAACACACACACATTTTTTCTGAGGTATGCCAAAATGTTCAGAAACCTTTGAAAACTGAAGTAATGCAAAAAAATCACTTTCGATTTTTGAACCATTACAATAACTTACCCTACGGGAAGTCAAAAAACACAATTATAAAATATTTTTACACGCATTTCAACAGTTATCAAAACTACATGTCCTATTAGATGTTTTTGTTGTTTATTCCTAAACCTACAATTTGTTAGTGCTTCGACAAAATAAAAGTGGTTAGCCATTATGTTTCTGTTGTGAATATATTACATTTGTATCTAATAATGATGTGATCGTATATTGCAGCAATGTCACCGAAAGACTTTTTTCACTTGATACTATATTCCAGTTCTATTTTCATTTGTATACTAAAGATAAAATTTATATTGTATGGTCTTGCATATCTAAAGTAAGGTTTTGAGTGAAATATGCTAAGAGCCAGAATAAATGTATTGTTCTATTTTAACATATTATTTTTTATTGAAGTAAAACTTCTTTAGGCGCGATTTGTGTGTAACTCCGTACAAACGCAACGGAAGTGCGTTACGGTAGAGTCGAGTGCCAATGATTCGTCATTCGCTCTTAATGATACCATTTCTATACGGGTCGATTGTGATTAGTCGTCGCGTATGTGAATAGAGATCTGTCGTTGTATGCATACCGGCATCAACGTTTAAGGAAATTGGCATAGATTATAAACATTTTGAAGTTACATCGTAGTACAAATCTTGATTTAATGAAAAATGCCTAGATGAGAAGAATATTTTAACCTGTTTCTTGAAAATAAAAAAATAAATTAAAGATGTGTGCCGTAAACTAAACGTAAGTTTATTGATTAGAAATTATTTCTATATTATTCGTAGTTTCTATAAATCTTTGAAGTTGTTAAAATGGTAAATATTTTTTAGGCAAGACAGATATTACAGGTGTTAAGAATGAGATTATATCGCCAGCGAAAAAGTAAAAAAAAAAAATACAAACAGTCAATGAATGTATGTTAATTTTAATTACATGTAGTTCTTCAAACACAATTAAATGATAAGTGAAGTTGCAAAAACAATATTGGTTTAGGCGTTGTTTAACATAATCTACTGTGTGAACGAATATTATAGAATGTGTTAATCAGTAATTACTTCATTTCTCTAATATATGTTCATTTCTAAATGCTAATTACAATGACAAACCGATCATGTCATATTTAAAGTATGACTTTAATTACATTATTGTTTTTAAATATTATACATATTTTTAATGCTATTATACAGTCAGCAACGAGCGTTCGAACGATAAAGACCTCAGTGTTGAATAGTGAGTAATCCGTAGCAGGTAGTTGAAATAGTGACATCATGGATAGCGGACCCTACGGAGAGGGTCCCGACGACGACCGTGAACAAATACAATTAGGTCCGTGCATAGGAAACGCATTGCGTATATGTTATGGAGAAGATATGGAAACTGAATCAAACGCTAATTTAAATAATTTAAATAGTGATGTTACACCCAAAGG